GGACGACTCGCCGATTGAAGAACAGCCGACTGCTCCGAAGGCGAGTATATAAAATGCCTAGGAGTGCCCGTCTGGTGATAACAAGGACAGGATAATTAATTCTACCCGCAGTCAGTCCACATTCTCTTTCAAAAACATAGTCGCCGCATACCGTCCGAAAGATCGACTTCGTCCCGCATCGACTCGTCGCAGGATGTGTCCGGTTTCAAGCCAAGTGCTGTGCGATACCATGCGTTGACCCTGGTCCAGCACGTCTTGATACAGTCCCAACTGATCAAGAATCCGGGCGCCATTCGGAAGGATGGCAAGCCCAGCACCATCCGGATATGTATCAGACCTTGCTTCGAGAATGGTGAGCTCGATTCCGGTGTTCGATAAACAGTGGGCGAGAGTCAGGCCGGCGATTGAGGCACCCACAATGATAACGTGGAACGGCCGTTGACTGTTGGGTTTAGACATTGCCGCAATGCTGAGGAGGGCATGGTCTAGGAATTTTGCCAAATACCTAGAGGGTCATGACGAAGAAAGAATGATTATAATAATAGTCGATCATATTAGTGATAAGCGTCATCAGGTGGACATAGTAATATCCTTGGGCTTGGGATCAGGAGCCTGATTATTCCAAATAAGGAGCTCTGCTGGTATACTAGTATTATTGATGGGGACATTCAGTCTGGTCACAGGCCACGGAATGGCAGGTACGACGGGTAAATGGTCAGGTCGTGGCCACATCTGACCGTTTGTGCTACTCGGCTAGAAGCATAAAATAGAAGACTATCGATGCGGGAGCAGATAGTAAGCTCAGAAATCTGCACATGCTGTGGTCAGCCTGGGCCTATAGTATACACTAACAGAGCCATGGTCCCTGGCCTTTTTTCTATAAGATCCATGTCTGATCGCATTTCTCCAATGTGGCGATGGTCAATTACTATTTCAGGGCAATATGAATTCAAACAGCCGCCATAGTTAATGGAGGCAACGTCACATGTCCCATAATAGGCATGAAGTCGATGCCTCAATATCCTCATCCGAACACCGAACCAACGATAGACAACCCCCCCAGGTAGCCTCAACCTTACAACCAAGTCCAAACCCAGGGCATAGTTCGCATAACACGAAGCTGACACATCGCGCCTATCTGACCATTAAGATAGCACCAACGAGTAATATAATTCTGACTCAGTTAAAGTTAGCCCACTAATTATATTAGTGGTCATACGGGCAGGATTAACGTTAAACATCCATGTCAAAACGAGTCCACAACACCCCTGTAGATAAAAGTGTGGGAGGTGGCTCGGGTAAGTGAGTTTAGTTAGTTAGCTGGTGGGGGTGTAAGCCTAATGCTTTTAATATGTGTGAGTGTGTGTGTGAGTGACCGGGCTTACGGGAACTGCCAGCCCGCTGGGAAGACAAAAGACAATATCTATTTAGTAAATACAGATACGTAGTAGTAGTGGTGGTACTCCGTAATGGACTCGTCTAATAGTACTATGTTGAGGGCAAGTTGCAGCCGAGAGAGAGAGACGGTGCCTCGGCTATGCCGTGGGTGCATTTCGGTGTAGAGATAAATTCACTCACTTGGTAGTGTAGTTTTGCTGATTTGCATGCAAGTATACTGTATACAGTTGTGCTTATCATTAATGAATAAGTAAGCATAATGTATCTAGGGTATGTACTCGTTCACAACTATTTGGGGTAGATTAAGCAGTCTTCAGCGAAATTTACCCCATAAATAAACACTGCAGAAAAAGTAGATTAAGGAGGGGAGGGGATGTAGAGTTGTCTGGGACGGACGGGACGGGGATCCATCCATACTAGTAGTACATACCATACCCACACCTTAATCAACTTTTACAACCCCGCGAACAAAAATCCATCAACAAGGCAGCGAGACGAGGGAATAACCCATTGGACTCTGGTCTCTTGGTGGTTGGAGAAGAGAAGTGTTAACTAAATTGCTCCGACCCGGTCGCGGCTGTCAATCCCTCCCGGATTCGCACTGGAATCTGGTCCATCGCGGCGGGGCCGGGACTGGATCAGCTCCAGGTTCAAATGGCTGGACGGGGTTCAACAACATCGCTAAAGGGAGCGATGGACCAATCACGGGCAGCAGCGAAGGGGAACCTTAGGAATGTCAGATATCCGCCTTCTCCGTCTGTATGAGAGTGGAGCCCGAGAGATGGAGCCCGGTATGGTACTGTCACTCCCGTGACGATTCCCACTAACTAGGTGGACTAGACTGGGCAACCACTAATTGTATCTAAACTAGAGAGCCCGTGAGGGACAAGGCAACCCGGTTACACAGGTTGGATGCTATTGGCATCAAACACATGATCTGATGAATCCATATCGTGTGGATGATTTGTGGTCGAATAACTTATGTACCCATTGACAACTATGCAAACAAAAAGATGTGTGTTTTGAACAGCAAAGCAAAGAAGGGATGAAAGAAATCAAAGTCCAGTTAAAACAAATGCCCCAACCAACTCCACGCGCTTTAATGACAGTCACGCTTGTAGATGTGATATGACCAATGATAAATGGCTAGAAAAAATGCAACTTCAGGAAGAGACGGGGATGGAAACAAAACAAAGGAGTATCCCGGTGGTATCGTCGCTTATGTAGAATGAGAATTCAAGGGAATACAATCCAGTCACGCTAAAGGAGTGCGCCCGCTATGCTGTATGTCAGTCGCCATGGCTCATCTCCGGCGAAGACGATTAGCGCGGAAAGCCGTCAAGTCAATTGATTCCGCCGACTGCGCATCATCATCCACCTCAATGGTATCCATCTTCGTCAGAGATTGCCTGTCAACCTCAATGGTCGTGGCTGCGGATGCCTCCGTCTCGTCCTCGACTGTTGGTTCCTCGGGCTGTTCTGCCTTCAGACGGCGGACTTCATTCGTAGCTAGGTCTAAAAGGCTTTTAAATTTGCCTTCTACACTGGTCAATTCCGTCGAGCAGTCTCCAGATCGGAGAAACTGGTATGCAGCCGTCTCGCACACTCCGTGTACCACTTCCAGCTGCTTCTCCGCCATATCAAATGCAGACTCTTTGGGCATGTCCTGGGCGCGAGGTACCGGAGGACCCCGATTGCGGGCTTTGCGGATGCTAGATAGCACATCGTCTTCGCCGGACTCGGAGGGTGAAAGTGAAGGAGCTAGGCTATTCATCCTTGCGCTTCTGTCCAGCATCTTGCTGCGGTACCCTGGCAATGGCAGTTGCGACATTCTGCCTTTCCGAATGTTGTTGCGAGCTGTCCCAATGTGGCGCACCATTTCTTCCAAAACGTGTTGTGTGTGGCCGTCATAGTGGATAATGAGGTTGTTGCGCGTACTAACAAGCGGGTTCCTGTCCCTGGCGTCCATGGAAGGCGCATCTTCAGCACCACGTTTACGAGGGTTCACATTCGCTTGGTGTTGGGAGGTATTAGGCGTCGTGACGGTGGTATGTGTTTCCGCAGCAGAAGATTGAGGGCCAGTTTCCGTTTCGGGCGCCGACGAGCGCAGGTCCTCGGTTTGAATGGAGCAGACCGAGCTGTTCTTGCGACGGCGCGGTCTCACCGTAACATGTCTTCTGTAGGCCTCGGCGTATTCTGCGTGTTTCGCGGCGGTGTGGGCAGATAACTCTGCAAGTCGATCGATCCAGGAGGGAATGTTTTCCGTAAGGTGGGTGAAGGCCCCCAGGGCGTCCATTTGAGCGGGCATAATGTGATTCAAGCGAAAAGCAACATGTGCTTTGTAGGCCGGATTTGTACTTCCGGGCAGAAATTCAAGTGTGTGGATTAGTGGTCCACTAAGCCCACTTTAGAAGTTCAGCCGTCTCGGTCACGAGCAAGGGAAAAGTGATAAAAATTGATTTGGCGGCGGATTGGGTTATTGACAAGTAGCGAAATCGTTTCGTCGTGGAGTCGTGAACGGCCGATGGGCGGTGGTGGTGATGACAAAGGTGCAGGAATTCAGGAACCTACAACTGTTCCATGGATCGGGGACTGCGCACGAGAGCGGTGTCGAACTAGTGGGCGGGAGGAGGAAAATAAGATACCGGGGTAGAAGAAGGTAGAATGAACGATGGAAAGGCAGAGGTGACTGGCACTACGGGATTGAACCACGATCAGGAGGTGAAAAGAAAGGGGGGGGGGTGGAAGAAAGGAGGGCAGAAGAGAGAAGCAATGGAAGGAGAAGTGAGTTGGATGTGAAGGAGCTGACAGGACCGAAGAAGAAGAGGAAGAATACTATTACTATTACTATTACTGCGAGGGAGAGTGACGTCCCCGAAAGTGAAGCCCGAAGCGTGGGTCTGAGCCATGCAGCAGGATGCATTACCGTAATATTTCAGCCCGCCCTTTCACATGACGATGACCAGGGGATACCAGATTTACCAGTATGCATACCAGTATGTTGTATGGACTAGAGCCAAAGTAGTAAGCAATGTTCGGTATTATGATTAAGATTCCTCGATATGCTTCCATTGACAGGGGTCCCCCTGCCAGTGCCGGCCACTCGGGCAATCCCATGGCCGGTTCCACTCCCTCTTCCCTCTCCTTTGTCATGGTTCGGGGGCCCCGGATTGGTTCCAGGCCGGTTGTCTTACGAGACACCCAAGAGTGTTGTGCGACTACACTAAAAGTACATATTCGTTGCAAACCCCCCCAACTGGTTTACTAAGTCCTTGCTAAGAGACCACCAGACCAGCGGTGAGTGTTTTCATCCTCTGTATCTTTACCATCGTGAGGGGAAACCCAGATCATAATAAGCATCCTAAGGTGATTGTCAATGGGGAGCAGGAAGGACGAGCAGCACTGCAGTAGTGTCAGGCTGAGTTCGGAGGAAACTAGTACTGTCTCTAGACGAGCTCCCGTCACAGATGAAACCCGACCGACACCAGCAAGGCCTTCCAGAAATGAAGTCCCCGTGTATGGCATTCTGGAAGCTTTCCTCCCCATATATTTCAAACACGTCCAGTGGCAGTTTATCCACAATGACTGTAAGTAATGTAGTCAACATTTCGGGCAGAACACGTGCCGACACAAAAACCACCCGTCACAAAGAACCTCCCCTTCCACTTCCACCCCCGGGACCAGCCATCATCATCAGTCCATCAATCACCACGACTCAACCATACCATCGACATGGGTCTGCATCAAGCCATTGTCCAATGTCGCAGCTGCAAGAAATGAATGTGAAATCTCCGGTCAAAGCCGAAGGCCATCCAAGACTCGCTAACGGCGACTTTACCCAAGAAAGTCATGACACGTAACGGCCTGTGCCCACGGCCAGACAGGGATCTCAAGACGAGTCAGAGCTCTCGGAAATGACCAGGATATTCTGCCCTTGACTGACAGCTGCCTCGACCACTGCAAGGCCGCGACCCGCCCAGGATTTCTCCCATCATCCATGTCTTGCTCACCTTGTAGGATTGGGCTGCGGGACCGCCGATCGTCCCGCACGGAGCCGTGGGATGACAGAAGCCACCAAACATGGTTGGCTTTGTTCGGACATGTTATGCTGTGATCCAGATAATCCTGGAGAACGGTCCTGGGCATGATGACTTGTTCGTCTATGATTCCTGGGTTTCGGTGTACAGGATACTCGGCTACCATGTCATTCCGGTCTGCTGATTGCATTGCGAGGTTTCCCCCGCCCTACGTACTTTGGAGCAGTGCAGCGAGTTTGTCCCGCTGCACACCACTCGGCCGCCGCCAGTGGCAAGTCAGGCAATATGTTGATGCATTTCATTATTATTCCACTAAAATACCCCGTACTAAAACCATGAGGTGTTTTTACCCATCTCTAGCTTGTTTAGTCCGAATAAACCCTCGGGCTAGGCTCTGGCATCCAAACCAATCCATGACGCCAGACACTAGCTGCCTTCCTAACGCCAAAATCAAATAAGGCCAGCAATAAACAAGAAGCCCCATGTTAACTCCATAAAGAACAGAGAACACATGACGGGTCCGGTTGAAACGAATGCAGAAACAATGATCCTTATCGACCATCATGCCCTTCCTTGTTCCCAAAGCGCTATCCATTTATTCAGTATATACCGGATTTCATCGACGGTATCCTTGGCCGCCTTCCACTTGTCCTCGCAGTCTGCTATCTTGTCTTGTAGCTGCTGGTCCAAGTGTTTGAAAGCCGTCACTCTTGACGCCGCAACGAGGCTATCTTTTGGAAAGCCATAATTCTTATCCTTGGCTCGCTTCTGTGGGACCTCTTCTTCGTCGTCTTCCTCTTCTATACTAGGTAGAGCCCCGGCTTCAGCATTGCCCGGCAATGTCTTGGATGGCCTGCCTCGTTTCTTTGGTGTCGATTCACCTGTTTCGGTGTTAAACTCGACATTCTTAAACTTGAGCTTGATGCGCTGACCCTCTTCAGATCCTGTTTCGTTGCCGCTGACATCGCCATCATTCTTCTTGGCCCTCTTAGGGTTGGCCCCTGGCTCAGCAGTCTGCTTGCGCTTCTTGGAGGGCTGGGAAGCTCCTTGTCCTTCCGCATCTATGCGAATTTAGCAACAATAAGTCATACGGAATATTGATGGCACCCACCTGGAATAACGCTGCGATGCACGCACCGTCTCTTTGCTTTTTTGCACGGAGCACATGCCGGCGTCAACTTCTCCTTCGGGCTGTTATTGGAATCGCTGGAAGATTCCATCTTCTTGGTCTTCTTGGTGGCCTTTGAAGTTTTCTTTGGAGGGGTAGTAGGGGCAGGCTGAGCGGGGGGTGATTGGGGAGCAGAAGGGGACGCGGGAGCTGAAGGAGCCTTGGCTGTGGCAGATGAAGCTTCGGAATTAGCCTAACAAACGATCGTTAGCGCTGCTCCACAGCAATCCAACAAGGGGTAACCCACCTGCTGGGGAGAATTTTCAGCAGACGGAGCCATCTTCAAAGCAGTGTCGTCCTGCGAGTCGGAGATTTCCGTTTTGAGTATGACTGATTCAGCGGCAGTACACGTGGGACAGTTGTCTGAGACGTCGCAGTAGCCTCGACACTCGGGGCAGATCAGTCTACCACCTTCACTGGACGAAGACATTCTGTTGGGGTTTGAGGGTTGTTTGTTCTTGGGTTACACCACGGAGGATGTTGATACAGGGAGGAAGTCGATTTAGCTATGATTTATAACGGTAGGACAGAGTGGATAATTATGTCTGATGGCTATAGCCGATTTATAGATTGATCCCGGCATGAAACACAACGAGGTTGTCTTGATGCCGGTGCTTCTTTGTGCTAATTGTGTGTTTCAGGATACAACGCTTCGGAAATGTCCACAAAACGCGCCGCTTTATTCGGACAAGCAACAAAGAAGACAAACAGTATAATGCCTCGGTTTATCTCATCGCTACATTCAAAGACGACAGGCTTTATCACACTCCAATCTACTCATTGTTAATACAGCGTACAAAGATACCTTCAATGTAATCTACAATGAACCTCATCCATCACTTTTATCATCCCAACAAAAATAGCACCCAAATCCAACAACAAGGAATAACACTATGTATCAAAATCAAGGCCACAAATCCACCTCCTCCCACTCCTCCCCATCCCTCACAGCCGTCCACCTCGTCCTAATCGGATTCGAAGGATCATTAACATCCAACCTCTCGACCTCCTCCGGCCGAATGACCACAACCCTGAAATTCTCCCTCGCAACCTTATCCTTGAGATCCTCCACCTTCTGCCCCAGCTTCAACTCCGGATGTCCGGGATCCTGATTCCTGGGTGTACCAGGAGGTGGATTCTTGAAAGTCCCTACAGTCACTACCCATCAGCACCCATACACCTTATCCCACCCCATACCTCCCTCCAAAACACATAGACAAAAGAAAGAAAATGGAAAAGAATCGTACCTCTCATCCCCGGCGAATGATTCGCAAAATACATATCAACCTGCCTCTCCCAACTCCACCCTTCCCCCTCCCTAAACTTCCTCAATCCCTTCTCAACGAACGCCCTCCCCTCCACTTCCTTCTCCTCCCCCTCCTCATCCCCAATAATACATGCCCTCCCCCTAACCCTCCACATATTCCCCACCTCCCTCAACCAAAACACCGCTTCAACCACACCCCCGGAGCTCTCCAATTCCTTCACCTTCTCCATCCGCCTATCCGTCGTGAGGGCGAGCATCTCCGACTCGTAGATATCGGGGTTCAGACCTATGTGTTGGTCTTTGAGGGATTGGATGGCCGTGGGGTGCAGGTTTAGGGTGGGAAAAAAGCCGCGGAATTCGACGGTGCGGGAGCGGGGGAGGGGCGTTGGGGAGAGAGGGGGGAGGGAGAGCGTGGTGAGGGTTATGGAGGTGGAGGTGGGGGAGGAGGTTAGGTGGGTTGTGAAGAGGGGGAGGTAGGGGGCTGGTTTGGGCATTTTCAACTTGGGGTTTTGGGGTGGTGTTGGTGGGACTGTTTACTAAGATGAATGAGTAGATACTAATTGGGGGTGTGATGGTGGTGTTGTGAGTGAGTGAGTGAGTCAGTGGGATGAGATGATGAAGGGGGGTAGATGATAGCTATTGCATGACGTTAGGTTGTGTGGTGAGTGGTGTGTTGATGGCGGTAGGCACGTGCTGTTATCTTATCTGATCTGTTAGTTGGTTGGTTAGTTGGGTTGGGATTTGGTAAGTAGTGTTTGAGTTGTGGGTGTAGAGATAGGTGTGAGATGGATAATTATTGGGTAATTAGTTGGGTTTAGTAAATACTCTTCTGATATTTTTACTGGGAAATGTTGCTCATTTGCTGTGTAGTATGGAATGTGAGAAGTATCATGTCCATGGAATCGAACTTGGCGGTAGCTGGTAGTATAAATATATATATATATAGTACTACTACAGTAGTAGTACTTACCTCATGTATACGCATAGTAGTGGAATGAGGCATAAATTTAGTACTGGTAATTTATAAAGTAATATTGGCAATGTAGTGCTTTGGAAGAGGATGATGGACTGGTGTAGTTAGTAGTAGAAGTGGGAAAGGAGATATAAATTGATGGAAGACTCTAGTGATGAACTAGTATTGTTGAAGATGAGAGGAGCAGTTCTTACTTGAACTTAAAAAAAGTCCCTCCACTCTACTGCTGGAATGGGCCTAATTCCTACTAGTAGTATTACTTCGTGTCTATCGAGAACAATCCTAGTTACGGCCGGAAATAACTCGATAATGTACTGTTCCCTACTGTACCATTGACACCAAAAACTGGTACTCCTGAAAAAGGTGTTGGAAAAGGAATAATTTTATTGACCAAACACCGTGCCTCCATTCAGCACTAAACCATGATAAATATACCACAATAATACACAAACAATCCCGGCAGAAACAAAGCACCCATGCTCAGCATCTATGTCTGCATCTCCTCATCACTATCAGCATAATCCAATGCACCCCCAGGTATCCTCCCCTCATTCAACTCCTTCTCCAACCGCGAAATCTCCTGCAAACTCTTCGCCTCGCGAATCATCTTCTCTACCCTCTTCCTCTCCTTCTCCGTCAACTTCACCCGCACCGCCTTATCCGCGGGCGCTCCACGATCCGCGCCCCCAGCACCCGAAGGCACATCGAACGTGCGAGATTTGATTCCCATGATCTTGGACGCCAATGCGGACGGCTCCTCAGATGTGCCGAACAACTCGGTGGCTTTTTCGCGCTCCGCGTCTTTCACTTTCTGGTAGTCGAGGAAGCGGACGCTGGGGATGCGCCAGATGACGTAGTAGCGGTAGTGCTATACCGATACCAATAACATTAGACTTGTTTTGCTTTGATCTCACCAGAAAAGGAAGAGGCAATAAAAGAAGGGCATGCTTACCTCCTTCCTAGTAACAGGATTCTCCAACAACACCAAATGCGTCAACTGAACCAAATTCCTAAGCGGATCCAAATCCGCCAACTCGTTCATGTTATTCGCCGTCAAAACCAGCGCGCTCAGATTCGGCACCGAGGATGATATCGTCGGCTGGATCTGCTTGACTCGGTTACGCGCAAGGAGGAGGGTGCGGAGACGAGGGAAGAAGGGGAAGTTTCCGAGGGAGGTGATATCGTTGTCTGTTAGGTCGATTGCATCTTGGTCCTACACATTTGGTTAACCTCCATACCAACCATAACGCTGAAAAGATATTCCAGGAGAGAAATGAGGTGGTGCTTACCTTGGCAATACCCAAGTTCTCAATAGCGGGTATCTTGTGCCCTATACGACTCAAACACAAAACCGATATCAATCAAGCTCATCTCAAAAGTGTAGTATCTGTTCTTTTCAGGACTGGTGGCTGGAACGCACCTCGAAGATCTAGCTCGCGGTCTTTGAGCGGGTTGATGTACGACAGGGAATTCTGGATGAGTTCGACGGTCAATCGCATGGTGGCGGGTGGTATTCGAGAACGGGTTCTATTGGGGTATCATGCACAAAGAAGAAGAAAGGTGCGCGGAAGCGACTGGTGTAGAGGGAACAGTAGATCGAGGAAAAGGTCAATTGAAGTAGCGGGGATGATGAGATTGAGACGGAGCTCTGTCGCGCATCTTGACTATCTTCACTGCTGCTGCTGATTTTGCCCGGGCGGTGAGCCGCTGTTCAGCTACACAGAGCGGCTCACGTGAGCAGTTCCACTATAATAGATTTACGCATTCACTGTAAAGATGAGCACTTTAAAATTATTTTCTTTATTTGTGTTGATTATGACTCTCATCAATAGTCTAATATAATAAAAGTTAAAGAGTAGCTATGTACTCCGGAGCACGCCCCTGATAATATGGCACCAAGAAGCAAAGGACTATTATGCGGTCATACGCCGGCTTCAAGCAGCGACCTGGACTTGCAGATCCCTTCTGCAAGCCATGAATGAAACAGAACCAAACGCCAGAGTGATGCAACATTGGCAACATAAACATAATCATACAGCAGCATCAGTCGTCTGCTAGGGGGGTCATGAGTGGTGACTTGGGATGGGATCTCGACGGACTGCCTGCTCGGGAGCGGCGTCCATTGGTTGTCGGCCCCAATGCCAAAGGTGCCAGATGATCCCGGCTCTCGGTCCTCACGACCAGCCCATGTCGATCCATCGCGTTGGCTCCTGACCCAGCCGAAATTCCGAGGCCAATAGTCCCGGATGAGGAATTGTCTAATGCATATTTGAAGGTGGGCGTAGTGTTACCACTGCCCCAGCTGGAGGCCCGCTTAGGGGCCGTAAACCTGGCGGCATCGGCTTCAGACGGACGTCCCCCGTCAAACGAGCTGCGGCTGGATCCGCTCGCACCGAGATCGAATTCCTGAGCGCCTTCCTCGAGAACGCGCTCATAAGTAGGGCTTCTGGGACCAAAGAACGGGAGCTTGCCACCAAACATCCTCCTCCGCTTCGGGTAGTTCGGATGAGACGGACCACCCCAACCAAAGATGTTCTTGATCTTGTGGTAGACTTTCAGACGACGGCCTCGTCCACAAAGGAAGAAGGCCACCAATATCACGATGAGAAGAAACAAGACAAAGCCCGGGGCTCTGCGGGACGAGCTCCCTTCGAGGAGCGCATCATGCCACGTTGTGCCATGGATGCCTTCGGAACTGGGCAGCAGCTCCACGCTGGGGTACTGGAAATCGCTCGGAACGCCGGCAACATTGCTGCCAAAGCCGACAGGAAGTGCTTCTTCTGTTTCCAAGGGAACCTGAGACGAGGCATAGAGGACCATCTTGCCCAGGGTCCAACTGACTTCGGTAGAGTCGATCTTGTTCACGGCCTGGAAGGAGTCCAGATAGCCTTTGCTTTGGCCGTGGGACAGCACCTCCTTGGTTCCGTTATGACCCGAGCCCGCAATGTCCTCTAGTCCTACGCGCGGAATCCCAATACCATCATGCAACACGTTCATGATCCAGGAGGCCTTGAAGCAAATCTCCGAGGCGGATTCCCGATCGAACTTCTTTCCCCACTGGTGGGCTTCGAGACCGTTTTCTACGGTCGCCCAGTCTTGCGAACAGAACGATCGCACACGCTCCTGGTAGGTGGCAAAGTCGTAGGCCTTGTCCTTGTGACCCATTTCGAACGCCTCGTGAGTCGTGTGCCAGTACTCGCTGATGCCGACAAAATGGTTGACGTCGAAGTCGATAGCCGGAACATGCATCCCGTGCAGAAGACAGGGTTGGTCGGGGCAAGGCGCGTCTTTGTCTAGTAACGGGTATGTTTGTCGCAGACACTCATCGAACTTGCCAGTTCCTAGCAGATGCATTCCATCAATGTCATCCGCCGCGAGAAGCTTGCCATCGATCGTGGTGCGTAATCCAGACGGCAGACACGGGTCAGGAAGCTCCTTGACGTCTCCAATAGCGCTGGCCGCTTGTAATGATTCCAGATAGCGCCTTCGCGCCTCGTGGACGCCGAATTCGAGCCATGAGGTGACAAAGACCCTGTGTTCCTGGGTCGACCCATCAACATTGCGCAGCCGTAGGAGAGTCAAATCGTTCGCATGCTTCTCGCTCTCAGTCGCATTTGGGGCAAACGCGATCTGCGCAGAAGCACCACCCATGTCCAGAAAGCCGTACGTATGGTGTCCCTTGCCGTGATCATGCGTGCCTGGGGAGTCGAAACTTCCCAGCAAGTAGTTTGTGGCGACCCATCCGTACAAGCCCTCGGTGACACCCGGAATGACTTGAATATGAACTCCGCAGTCGGGAAGCAGGAAATCCGAGTTCGACCCGACATAGGAGCAGATCTGTTCGAGCAGGAGGTTGCGCTGTACGTCAGGAAGCAGTCGCATTCCTGCAGTCGCGAGTAGAAAAATGGGGGTATCCTTCACGGCGTCATCGGGGACAATCTGTTTCGCATGTTCGAGGAGTTCTGCCAGATGTTCAGGACCGACTTCTTCCGGTTTATCGGCAAACGACGACACTCCTATAGGATCAAGGCATTAGTATTGACCTGAGACGTAGCGCAGCCATCCACCAGACGTACCGGGATGTATCTTCTTCGTCCAGTCGCTTTTCGTTTTCACTTCGGGCAATGTCTGCAAATGCTTTCCCTTTTCCCGCGCGACAGCATTGTCCAACCAGCGATAGACGTGGACTCGAGTTCCCTATCACCGGGATTAGAGATGGCGCAGAGGTATATATATGGCGCAGTATTACTTACGGACGAACCCGCGTCCAGAACGACTCCATATCGGTCTATCAACCAGATATCTGTCAGTCTCCATATAGGCGAGAATCAAGAACTATGCGACGGGTGCTTACGTTTGCCCATGAGGATGTTGAGAGAATGATGCAGGTTCATTAATTGCAGTCAAGACCGCCAACCATGACAACTTGAGTGGAACCGCGAAAGGGTGCAAGGCTTATTATGGGTGTGTGAGTGGGACGGGGGCGAAGTCGTGGGCTGGAAGTGTAGTATGGGAGGTGGGACGACGATGCGGACAATTGATTACAAGGTCTAGTGTGAGGGTGAAGAGCGTATGTCGGGAGACGACGGAGAAGAAGTCAAACGAATGGCCTTGCTGAGAAGCAGCAAGATAACGACAACAAAGTCAAAATGAAGCCAAAGCCAATCTGCAGGCCTGGGGAAGGAGAAGGAGGAGAGGAAAGGGTGGGGATAGTAGCAAGCAGGAGAAGGGGAGGGAAAAAGAAAAGATAAGGCCTCGTCTTGCCTCTCGCCGGGAACGGCTGGCTGACGCGACCAACTGCTGGCCTAAGGCTTGCCGTTAGTCCCGACCGGGCAAGGTCGGGAAGATGCGATCCCGTCTGGGAATGGGTCCAGCTGGAATTAATTTAAAGATGAAATGAGCTGCCGGTCCACCTAGCTTTGCAGAAATATTAGAATCTCGTTGATCATTCAAATATAAAGAGTACCTATTGCATACTTATTCAATAGATCATTCAATACATCTCCATCATTATAAACTGAAGCAGAACAAGAGAGTGCATCCATCGTGAATAAATAAAAAGAAATTGAAAGAAAAGAAGTAAAAAAGGGTCTGGGGCCAGCCAAGAATGCAACCCCGGCCCGCTTGACGTAAGCTCGCCAGCCTTGTTGCGCCATCCCTCTGCAATGATTGGCTGAGATGCTCGGTCGGCGATTCCCTCCCCCGCCATCCATCCTCTCATTCTCTCTCCTCTCCCTCCTTCTTGATTCAAAGTTGTTGTGTATGTTCTGGGGTGACGACAGATGTGCCAGCCCAGCGGGTAGAACTGGAGTCCTTGGACCCCGAGATCGACACCAACCAACCACTTTGTGAATGACCTGCCATTCGCGTGAAAGTTTACTCCGCAGGGAAGACATACGCAATCGAGGGGATCATCCGTCGGATTGCGAATACATGCACCCTCAAAACATCGTATTATGCAGGGTAGCTTACAGAGTAGGTCTCTGTGCTCTCTACAGAGCCAATGATGGAGTACTATCTGCCGATTTAGAGAATGGTTGTACAACAGCTGGGCTTATAACTATCACATGTTATTCAGTCACGTTGCGTTGCCATAGCATCTCATGAAGTTCTGCTTTTTTGGTACTCTGTATCCATCTGCAGGTCGGCATGGATGATGTGACAGGGAATCAAATCAATCTGAAATCCGCCTCCACTTGATCGACCCCACTTTATGAAGGAAGCCAAGACTTCTTGGAAGTATATCGGCCATGTTATTGTCCTCTTTCCCTCGTGCGGAGAGTATAATCGAGGAGATCACTGGAAGAATAGGAAATATCTTGTACTACTGGAGAGATCCTTTTCCCAAGGGAAGTAGAAATGTGAAAGAGCTATCATCGGATATTTTTAGATCATTTGGTGTTCACCCTCGTATAGCATGACGCGGCCATGGGTGTGCTGCATCATCATCTGGTGCCGTCCCCGATGCCTGACTTTTTGTCTCCAGCAGGTAAAAGCATAACCCAACGCTGAACCCCCCCTCTTGGCTGTGCATTGCACCTGCAGGCACTATTATAAGCATTGCGTCGGTGGATTAAAATAAAAACGACTACCTGACTGGCTCCTCCGTCCGCAGGCCGAATTGGGTTAACGGACCGTCCTATAGTTGCATTTCCCTGCATACAGACCGAACTCTATCATTTATCTATCCCAAAAGCAACATAGATGGCTTCTACATATTCTATAGATCGCTCCCCTTTCTTTCCTGGCACTCCGTCACGCTCGTTGAGGATACTTTGGGTACCCCGACCAGCGTGGGACTTACCGAGCCATGCACCGTCATCGACCAATCTCCGATCTGTTCATCGAAGAACTGAGTCCGATCCAGACCCAGCATTTCCTCCTCGTCACTCACTCGCAACTGCATCCCAGGAATATACTTTAGGATGAGAAGCATCAGGTAGGATACCACGAAGGAATACGATGAGATGGCGCAGATCTCCGCCAACTGCTTTCCAACCTGGACACCATTGCCATCAATCGCTCCTGGGGAAAGCGTGCTGCCATCCAAAGCCGAGATCTTTTCGCTTGCAAACAGGCCCGTTAAGAAAGCTCCCACCATGCCACCCAGCCCGTGCAGCTTAAACACATCCATGCCCTCGTCGACATTAATCCACTCGTTCACATTTTTGAGGGAGGAGCATACGATGGCCGTAATAAAACCGATGCATGCTGCGAGCCATAGCGAGACACAACCAGCCGCTGGGGTGATCCCGACCAAACCTGCAATTGCACCTTCGCAAGCACCAACGACTGTGAACTTTCCTTTGTACCGGATCATGTCGACCAGAACCCACCCGAGGATGCCTGTGCAACCGGCGGTGTTGGTGTTGAAAACAGCTACCATGGCACGCATGCTGGCGTTAAGACTCGAGCCCCCCTATCGCCATATTGCTGTTAGACTCGAATACTAATGAAAAGTGGACCTCACGTACATTGAATCCCAACCATCCAGTCCAGATCATCACGGTCCCGAGGAAGACCAATGTTGTATTGTGCGGTTTGCGGATTGAAGGGTCCCCGTGATCCCTACGCTTGCCCAGAACCAACGCATAGGCCAGAGCTGTACACCCAGAAGCAATGTGTACGGGACCGCCTCCCGCAAAATCAATGGCCGGCAGATTGTAGAGCCATCCGTTACTGCTCCATGTCCAGCGGGCTAGCGGGCAGTAGACTATGGTTGCCCAGAAGAAGCTGAAGATCAATGAAGGTACAATGCCACCTCGTTCAAAGGCACCTCCAACGACAATCATCACCTGCTGGCCTTAGTACATCGCTTTTGTATTACTTGATCAATACTCACTGTGCATGCGCAAAAGAGGAGCTGAAACAGACAGAAGACGACCTCCGGTAAGACCGCGGAGCCAGGTGAGGGTGCCACCAAGACATCCATCAGGCCAAAGTTCTTCAGTGTACCGATAAAGGGCCCGCCGTCTCTTGAATAAGCAAGGGAATACCCCCAAAACAACCATTGAAATGTAGATCTATATAATGATTAGCGTTGCGCTAAATAACAAACAGGTCGCGATTGGCAAACTGACACTGCAAGAACCATGAAGGCCTGGAAGAGAAGAGCCAGCGCGGATTTCCTCCGTGACAAGCCGCTGTAAAGCATCCCAATCCCCGGTAAAATAAGGAAGACAATAAATGTGCAGGTAGTAATATAGACATAGTTGTACTCGAATCCGGTATATTGCGCGTTCACGTCGACCTGGGTAGGATCACCACCCTCCGGCGATGAGGAATTGTAGACTGGCTGTTTCATTGCATGCACATTAGCAAAATAAGTCTGAGAATTTCACTGACTGTCGCAAAAGCCAACACTCACTTCAGCCATGATGGAAAACGAAGAAACAAAGCGGTGGCAATCTCTTTATGATGAGCCGACTTCCAACATTTATCCTCAGACTGCTTCGGGCCTGCTGTGCTTGAGGGGCCATTCACTTAAATAGTATAATAGATCACTGGCAGTGAGCTGAATTCGGATTCCCACCTTGCACATTGACTGCATAGTTTCTTGGCTGGACCCATTCCGAGATGGGGCATATGCGATATCTTACTCCGTAGATAACTTCAGCTGCAAGTGGTTGGTTATTCCGAAGTGTAAAAGAGATCGTTATCTGAGCCAAGAACCCACAGGAATACAAATAGTCGGTCTCGTCGCACAGAAACCTTCGTTTTGGATGACTTGCGGTCGCCTTCTGCTGCTATCGAGAAGTCTGATCCCAGATGCCAAGGTGGACGATCACAAAAGCAGGGGAACCCATATTGATAAGGGAAGAGGAAGGCAATCACAACCATGACTGATTGGCTCCGTTGCAAAGCCCGGATCGTACATCCCTCTGGGGTTTAGGGTACCTCAGGAAGGCTGAGCTGGTAAGAGCGATGTAATGTAGCCCATGCATGCGAAAGCCGTCCTGTGATTGGCGAGAGATAACAGCCCGGCATATCGATGCTTCTCGCTTCCTCCAAGACTAGCACGATGAGTAGGACTTTTCAGCTCCAATGGTTAGCACCTGTGCCCTGCATCTCAGCCAGGAGCTGAAGCGCTATGATATACGATCTCGTGGCTGAACGATCAGGTGATGGATGAGGATGTCCAGGAGTCTGAGTGGTGCTGCATACAGTTGGAACTCCGCACAAAACGTGCTAGCCACGCCATCCAAAGGCGGGCCCAAGCTAGAGACAGTAGTTTGGCGTGAGGAATCGGGGCTGGATATGAGACAATCTCGTGATCCCCAGTCAGTTGGCAGCGCTGGTGATCTACAACTATCTTCTGTTTCAGCCTTGTTGGCGTTATCCACGCAGCCACATGCCCCAGCTTTTAGCTTTCAGACAAGCCGATACGAATATGCTTATATCGTTCATGCACCTATTGTATCTCTCATCTTCACATATGTTGGAGGGAGGAATTTAGGTTGACATCCAAGTGGTGGTTGCTCACGAGCCAAGACTGACGATCACGGCGGTTGATTATCCGGGAGTATTGAGGGGGCGAAAATCATGGCACAATATAGATCTGCAACACCTGATTCATGTTAATTTGATGGCCACTCAATGGCCTTCGTGCCTGGATACAGAAACCCACCGGCGCAGTAAGGGGGAGGATCTGAAGGATCCCAAAACACGAGGAAAAGGATCCGGTAACCTGACCAGTCGTATCTGTCAGCAGCAAGTAAACCGCAATGCTTGGTATTGTTGTCTCTGAGGAGAGCATGCTCTTCGTAGCTTGTTGGATTGGTATTCCTCGTAGATTCCTTCCTAATCGATCGTGAGTACAGGCCGATTGAGTGTGCGGGGACCCGGACCTACTTTGTAGAAGTTGTACTGGTTCCATCGACCTAGTACCAAGGCACACCAAGGTCAGGTACCAGATCCATGTTTATTAAGGCACATTGTTCACAAGGTAAAGGGCATCAACACATTCCCTCTAAGCTGCCTCTGAGCTGAGAGTATGTTCCGCCCGGCATCTTCGGAAGCACGCCCCTCCTGGCGAAACTCAAGTCTTGCAAGGTCCCAGACGATGGAAGAAACCTCATCTTCTTTGTCCAAGGGATCCAATCAGGTCGAATCGCCCCCAACGGGTGTGGCTGACTAACGCGAGCAGGAAGCATTAGTGTCATCCTCTCATTGCCTCATCCTGGTTCCTCCCCATTTTTTAACCATCGCCCTGGCCATGTTTCTCTTGATTCTCGCTGGCTGGATAGCCGGTTCGCATATATAGATTGCGGAATCTTGGCCGGGATCCAACATGTCATCTTCAACCATGGGCGTCCAGGAACCAGCGCCGAAGAAAAGGACCCGGGTCAGTCACACCAAAGTGCGTACGGGTTGTCGGACCTGTAGGTACGAAGTCACCGTGCACCTTGATTGTTTGCTTGTGCATGGGGACCACCGTTAATGTGGATCATGTAGGATTCGCCATAAGAAATGTGACGAAACCCGGCCCATCTGTCGCATGTGCAGCAGCACTGGTCGGATATGCGATGGATACCAGCAAACCATCGATAGAAGAACGCGCGCTTCCAAACTCCGGCTCGCTTCAACTTCTCCATCATCGACTAGCAGCTCATCTTCAACGGTGAGCGTGCCATCCCTAGTGTCAGATCTGATCTTACACACCAATGAAATCGACCTCACTCGGCAGGAGCGTTGGTACCTCGACTTCTTCCGCAGGAATACCGCTTTTCAATGTTCCGGTTACTTTGATGATGATTTCTGGCTGCGTCTAGTCCACCAAGTCACCGAAGCCGAGCCAGCGGTCCGCCATGCTGCCATCGCATTAAGTGCCCTACACTGTAATTTTGAGCGAACCAGTACCGGACAGGGGGCCATAGATAGCCGCGTACCTCTCCAACAATGCGTCAAAGCTATTTCCTCACTGCGACACCAGCTAGCGGGTGGAGGAGTCCCATCCAGCTCCAACATGGAAATAACCCTCGTGACCTGCGTACTGTTCGTCTCGTTCATGTTTCTGCAGGGTGATACGCACTCTGCCTGTTGTCACTTGCGTGGTGGTCTCAAACTTCTTAAGGAATGGAGAACCACCGGCAAGGCGGGGTATTCTACCACAGGTTCAGTACTGATGAAAGTATTTGCACGTCTACAACTACAATGGTCGACTTTTGCCGACGAAGTCTTCATTGAGGAGGTGGAAAGCAACCGCTGCGACGCCCCCTATATGGAGATCAACGATCTCAGTCTTGAGGAGCCGACCGACAGCTTAGAAAAGGCTGGCAGCCTGCTTGTCAGACTAGGCCGACTCGTCCTGACTCCTAATTCCTCCGACACCTCCTCACCAGGCTACTGCACCGTTTTGGACAGCAGACGCATGGCCATCCTCAACAAACTCCAATGCTGGACCACCGAGCTCGACAATTCAATGACATGCACCGGCAACACCCTACTCCTCCGCGACAGCACCATCCTCACCGTCCTTAAACTCTGGGGCGAAATCATCTACATCATGGCCGCGACAGAAACGCGCCTCGGTGGCAGCGAAACTCGCTTTGATGCCTTTCACCTCAACTTCGGCCGAGCCGTGGCGCTCGCCAAACCCCTCCTTCTCTCCACACCCACCCAATCAACTATACCCAACTTCTCCATTGCAATGGGTATCATTCCTCCTCTCTTCTTCTGTGCATTCAAATGTCGCGACTGGTACATCCGGCGAGAAGCAGTACAATTACTCCGCAGCTGTCAGAGACAGGAAGGTCTCTGGACAACGCCGGGGGCCGTCATCGTCCTGGAACGATTGATCGATATCGAATCTAAAGGCCTCATGCCAGGAGATCTGGTTCCAGAGTCACGCCGCATTGACTCGATACATGTGAGCATTCTTCCGGATGATCATAAGATTGGGTTATGGTATCGTCGGTCGAGCCGGCAGATGGGACTGGACGGCTATGTGGATATCGGCTCGGGGATGTGGGAGAAGGTACTACTGGATTATCATGTGGGGTGATGCTTGAGGTGTACCAAGTATTTATTGGGACTTTGGTTGGCGATTTATCATGTATTAGATACCAATTTGCTCGGCGTTAATTTAAATATCACTGATGAACTCTTATCAAAAATATATTTCGAGTTGTAGTAAGCATTTATTGACTAATAATCAGCAGGTATCATCACCAATTCCCACATCAACCTCATTACTGCCATCTTACTACCTTTATCTGCATGCATACCAACCAGAGCCGCAACCGATGAAAACACACCCTACTCAACATAATCCTTCCTAACAAATACAAAACCAGAATAATAGCAGAGTTCAATAATTACAATTTCCTAAATAAATATATAAACAAAGTCCCCCCTCTTCCCTTCTCTTCCCCAACCCCAAATTCCTCTCCTTTTAGATCAAAGTACCACAAAACCTAATACCACTGACACCTCACCACCGGATTAAACATACTGACACTCAACGCCCCATAACAATCATGCACTTTACTATCCCCATAACTCTCACAATCGACCGTCTTCCCCAACTGCGGACAAGTAAACGTGCCCGGCTCATCACTCGTCCCCTTATAAACACAATCCTCCATATCATGGATCTTGAAATCCAATTTCTTCGTTCCATCCGGATACGGCGGATCCACCACCTTGATATTCCCACTAGCTTCTAGCTCGCCCGCCTCCGCATCCTTACAGAAATTAATCGAGGAGCCCATGTCCGGCGTGAAGAATGACCAGTAGCTGTACACGTCGGAGAGGTAGGCGATGACCATTTGGGCGGTGGGCGTCGGCGTCGGCGCGGTGTAGATCGTGCTGCTGGTGCCGGCGCATTTCGTGTACGTAAAGGTGGAGAAGTAGCTTAGTGTGGAGGTCGCGCAGACGAGGACGTTGCTGTTGAGTTCGGTGGTCGTGAAGGGGGGGTCGGAGGTGGTTTTTGTGGAGGTGGTTTTTGTGGAGGTGGTTTTTGTGCTGCTGGTGCTGGTGGGGGTCGGGATGGAGGTGTAGGAGCAGCCGCTGCCCGAGGGAAGTTCCGAGAGCGTTGTGTAGTCGCCGTTGGGTCGGTTGCAGACGCAGACGTTGCCGGCGCCGTTGTCAGGGTCGGCGCTGGGGGTTGGTTAGTATGATGGGGATGGGAATGGGGGAAGGGGAAGAGTAAGGGCTTACTGGTTAGTGCAGAGGGGCGGGGTGTAGGAGGAGGTTGTGGTGACTAGGGTTGTGGCTGTCTGGTTGCGTGATGGTGAGGGCGTCACGGTGGAAGTGTGGTGCGTGGTGCTGGTGTCGCTGGCTGTTCCGCTGTGCGTGTGGATGATGATGGTTGTGGTGTCGGTTGACGTGCTGGATTTGCTGTTGGTGCTGGTGGAAGTTGAGTTGGTCGTAGCAATGCTGGACGTGTGGGCTGACGAGGATGCAGACAGCGGTGCGGAAGAAGAGGATTCGCTAGACTTGGTGGATGTGGTCTTCTTCGTGGTGGTGGTATCTGTGGATGTAGTCTTGCTTGCTGCAGCGGATGACGATGCTACATGCGAAGATTCCGTCTTGGACTTGGTCTTTGTCTTTGTGGAGGTAGAAGAATCTTTGGTGCTTGTCGAAGACTTGGTCGAAGTGGGTGAAGCAGACGCGCTCGCCGAGTGGCCGCCTGAGCCGGCAGACGAGCTAGAGTCGGAAGTCGTGGTGGACTTTGTCGACGTCTTGGTCTTTGTAGACTTGGTAGACGTATCGGTATCCGTACTGGTAGATGTGGCAGTCTTTGTGGACTTCGAAGACGTATCGCCAGAGGTCGTTGTCGTTGTCGTACCGGTGCTAGTCGCGGTAGAGCCAGTGGCAGTCACTCCCACTGCGCTGAGGGAACTTCCCTCGGTCTCGAAGGCGTCAAAGTAAGACGAGAGCTTGGACTCATCAGATGTATCACTGTCTGAGGAACTGCCCAAAATCGACACTGCCTCATCCGCAGTACTGGAGATGCAGCTCGCAATACCGATGATATCTCCCAGCAGGCCTCCACCGCTGCTACAACTATCGAGCGCCGATTCGCTATCACCAGAGCTTGAACTTAAAGAACTCGGTGCCCCAAGTACGTCGAGAACGTCATCCGCTACGGGGATGACGCGCTTCAGGGGCTTGATGAGATCGGATGCCTTGACGGACTTGGGGTCCTTCTTCCATTTCTTAATCACTGGATATGTGTCCTTCACGAGCTTGTAGAGGTGCTTGATAATGGCGTAGACATCAACAGAAGAAGTTGTAGTGCTGCTGGTGGTTGAAATTGTTGAGTTTGGTGTCGTGGAGGGCCCGGTCGTGATGCTAGCACTTTGGCTGGTATCAGTGTTGGTCGTTGTGGTGGTAGTGATGGAGTGAGTGCTCGATGTAGGAGAATGAGATGCAGGGCTCGACGAAGCAGTATCTGCGGAGCTGGAGCTTGACTTGGACGTAGGAGTGTGAGAAGCAGAGCTTGATGTGGTGTCCTCAGTACGACTGTGGGTTGTGTGAGTCTTGGTCGAAGAGCTAGTGTTCGGTTTGGATGAAGCCGGGGTCGACGAGTTAGGGGTGTGAGAATGAGCAGGCGTCGATGAGCTTGTAGAAGTCTCGTGCTGAGATGAAGCCGACGAACTTGTCGAAATGTCCGATGAAGACGTAGACGATGTAGGCGTATGAGTGTGGGTATCCTTCGATGTACTGACTGTTCGGGATGATGTAGCAGACTCAGATGAAGCATGCTCCGAGGAGCTCGAAGAATGAGTGAAAAGAGTGTGGGTTGAAGGAGTGTGAGATGGACTGGTGGGAGTCTCAACGGAAGCAGGGGTGAACAAGCTGCTAGGGGAGCGAGTGGAGGTCTCCTTGGAGACGACAGAATGAGAATGACTTGACGCAGTAGTATGATCTTGAGCAGGGACCCCTGCAGAAGAACTTGACAATGTCGTCGCATGAGATTGGGAACTCGAAGGAGTGTAATGGCTGACAGATGTGTCATGCACACTACTACCATTAGAACCTATTTCTTTGATTATCAAGGGAAGACTGACCTTTGGGGCGTGTTTACAGGCGCGCTAGAGTACGAGAGTGTCGTGGCCCCACGAGAGCGTGTAGAAGACTTCGATGCTCCATCGTGATCATCGGTCGAGGCCCCCTGAGCAGCACCAAGGGAGGCCGTAGCCAGTGAAGAAGGAGAGTACAATGGAGTATTCGAGGCTGAAATCGTGGTAGCTGTTGAATCCGACTCCGAAGTCCATGAAGGATGGCTCTCAGAAGAGGTTCTACCCTGGGTGTTTGCAACAGCCGACGAGGCCGTATGCGAGGACTGAGGAAGCCCTAACGCTGGTGAAACGATGCTGGCAGCGCAGAGTCCTGCCAGCAGGGTTTTTGCATTAAAGAGTGGCATTGTCCAAAGGACGATAAAGAATGACTGTAACAAGCAAAAACAAAGAGTGAGTGACAGTTGGCTTACGCTTGGCATAAGAAATTCTCCTGAAGGGAGACTGTTTCTTTAGTATTCCTAACTCTTACTCTTTGGTGGCTGAGCTTCGGTAACAGTGTAGAGGATCGGGCTGGCCGCGGCGGTGGCTTTTGGCCCCCAGAGGGCCAAAACCAAGCAATACCATTATTCGCATCCCACCAATGCTTCGAGTCATTTCTAATCGTAGAATTGTTTGTCTACTGCAGGTACAGCTCGATCGGTCGCATGCGCGAGTCAAGCTATTCTGCTTATTATTGGATGGAAAAGTGTAAAGCCCATCAGCGTGCGCTTTCGAACTTGGCTTAATCAAACCCGATCCTCTGGCCCCCAAGTCAGCCTGAATGGGGCGAGAAATTCGCCAGAACAAGCGACAATGTAGGCGATCTTTGCACTGCCTGTTGGTCTGCGCGGATAGTTTGCCCGATCGCTGCTTGAAAGACAGTCTTCTTGATCGGCTAAATGCTTAGCTTCCAGTTTAGGCGACCAAAGAGCGTGCAGATGGCACCAACACATGCCCTGGGCAATATAGGAAAGGAAAGATATGGATGGCTTATATTGAGATGGTCCGAGCTGCCATTGTATCTGTGCTGGAGTAGGTCTCAGATAGATGGTCCATGGATTATGAGGCAGATCTTACAATTGATTGGATAGAATCGAGATCGAGAAATTATAAGGTGGATGTACCAGCGGAAGAACTCTTGAGAACGCGGAATAACCCGCTGGAAGCACAGGAAGAATTGAGAGTTGGGAGCTAAATGAATGCTTAGTAGCCAGCTAGAATCTGAAAAATTTGGACAGAACAAGACAATCATTGGAATACTACCTAAGGGCTTGTCAGTTGGTCTAACGGTAGAAGTGTAATGGACTATTCAATTGTTGCAGTGGAGTAATAAACAGCCACCCAGAAGCTTTCATGAAAAGCCTTATGAACACTTAATCATAACTCATTGACAAACGACTCAGAATGGGGTATTACCATGGTTATGCGTAGTAGTACCGGTCAGGACTACCTCATCTTACCTCAATATCACCTCACTTTGGACATCATCTCTTCTCAGAATCTCCTTATACCATCCACCGCTCCTCATAATCTCTTTCTTACCCTATACTTGCCATCCATGCCTTCCCTCTGTCACCAACACCGTCCAGGATGCCTAATCATTATATTACCAGTGCTGTCCACTCGCTGAGCCACGCTGAAACCTTCAGTGAAGCTCTCAAGACCATCAACGAAGGTGTAACCAGAGCCCTACCGTCCAAGCGCCAATACAAACAAGGCATTGTACTGAGCCTTCGCTGGGAGAACGACGACTTAGACCGGAAGGATATTGACGAGTTTCTACGACTTTTCGAGACGATATACGGCTTCAAAACTGATTCGTTTTTGCTCCCATCTGCGCCCATAGCGGAGGTAGCTTTGGCTATGCAGGCGAAAATTCGAACGATGCTCTCTATCTATGTTTCCTCGGACACACTCTTCATTATTATGTACGAAGGTCACTCGAATGCGTTCTATGACATACCCAATGCTTGTGTCAGTATCATGTAAGTTATATATAAATTCCCCAGAGATACTAATCAATAAGCTATATGACACTATAGGGGCTCGATGAGGGAACCTACGGTTTCTCTACCTTGGGGTTTCGTGGAGACCGCGCTGGCCTTTACTGATGGAGATGTCGTATTTATACTGGACTCGCCGTTCTCATCCAGGGCGGCAATAAACGGTGAAGATATTGAATACCTCGCAATCTCGGTATTCAGATCACCAGCAGCTAGGAGCATCGATGTATCCCTAACGAGGCGACTCATTGACCTACTGGGTCAAGTAGATACTGAAATCATTATATCACAAATACACGCAAAGCTTGCCGTGCATGCAAACAGTCCAGGCAGCCAACTGAGACTTATCCCTGTACATTTCCCGGCCAAGAACAAGCCATCAATCACCCTTCGCCCTATAGGAGCGTGCCCAAGGTAGCTTAGAGGTCTCCGAAAAGCGGGTGACCTGTCAGATGGAAAGGTTTTGGTTACTGTTCGGATAATCTCTGACACGACTAGTGTGTCGGATATCGTCGAGCAATGCATCCAGTCCTTGTCAGAATCGATTGCGGGGGATGTGGCAGATATCAAGATTGAAAGGTATCTTCAAGTTCAGTCTTGACTCATCCTTGTTGCTGCTCACACTGCCAACTGCGGTTTGGAACATGCTTCGTCATAATCACTCTTTTGACTTCGTCGGTGTCGTCCAGTCACATAATATACTATGTCACCGGTCGACTACTATGGCTCTTGCCAGTGGGAATGCTGGCTCACCCTATAGGGGCAAAGACTGATATTCATTGCTTGATTTAGTTATGGGAAGAAGCAATCAGATTTCAGTAAGAGTAGAGTTATTCATATCTACGCAGTTTGGAAAAAGGCCTTCGTCTGCTCCTCACACCGGTCAAGATAAACGTTTCGATTCTATTCATTCTTTATATTCAGTGAAAATACTGTTACCCTGCTAGAGACACATCATATCTATAGTTTCAAACGTTCTTACCCTCGATGACTAAAAATAAAAAGGTTGAGCATGTTTATATTCGTATGTCAGCACGGTGTTAATTCATTCGATTGTGACACTTTCATTGAGTCATTTGCTTGCCCAGACTATTATACCTTCCTACAATCTTCTCTATCAGCTCCCGTAATGATTTATCACGGTGTCGTTTTTTGAAGTGGCCTCGGCCATAGAATCGAAAAAGGGGGGGGGGGTTCCAAGCTCACTAGTATATTCCACTGGCTGTATTACTGACGCAGGAATCATGGATGCAACTTGATCGTTGCAAAGTGAAGGTACGTAATTACTAAGACTAAAAAGTCGGCACGTGCGATTGCATAAAGCGAATGACTCTTTCCGCTGAAAATATGATCAAAGCCAAGACTTGTTCCTGTCTCGTGGAAGTTGCGGAAGTCGGAAGTTGAGTTGTTGGACTACAGAGCCGCGGAGATAGTTAGCTCCCCGCGGAGATGGTCAATCTGCCTCGAATGGTACTCCGCACATGAACCACCACGCCACCGTGCCAACCCTTGAGCAGTCGTTGCAAATTCTCATGGAACATGGCCAGAACATCAAACGAAAATATTAACCAGAAAAAAAGGTACACCGAGAAAGTAATTACGTAATTAACCGGTTGCTGTCAACCTTAATACTCCCTAGCGCCTCGTCAATTTCCACCATTAACCCGTCACACCCGATTAACTACACCTGCTCTGCTCCGTGAGGGATATTGGGAATATTAGGGTTGTTCTGCATTTGTGAGTTGGTCGGGGTGTGATTCCTCCGGCCGGCCGTTGGGGATTGCGGCTGCTCTACTGTAGTAGCCTCGGAGTTATATGAGGGACGGTGCATCGACATGTCCCACGATCCGGGACCTCCCGAGCCCATCTTGGCTTCCCATTCATTGTAGTCTTGGCCCGGGTTGACGGTGGTGTACTGGAACATCTTGAGGAAGGTGAAGAAGCCGCATGCGAGGAGACTTCCCAGCAACGGACCGACCCAGTAGATCCAGTGGTACCCGGGGAAACTGCGGTTGATGACGTCAGGACCGAGCGATCGCGCTGGGTTAAGTGAGCCGCCAGTATAATAGTCCCCTGCAGGAGAAGAGGTTAGTCGCATATAATCTGGCAGCAATTGGACCGGCAGTCATTTACTTACCAACCATCTCAGTCACGAAGAATACCAGGCCAATGCCCACAGGAGCCAGGAAGGTGGATTTATGTTTCACAACAGCCAGCATGATGATAATGAGCACCAGCTGAGCCGTCAAGAACATTTCGATAAACAGTCCCTGCGAGATTGAAGCGCCACCGCCCAGACGAGTGCCGACGTTCAAGTCGCCTGGGAACAAAGCACTCACGACACCGGCAGCCGCAATGCCTGCGATGAGCTGGACTACGAAAACAATAACCCCACGGACGGGAGACAATCCACCAACCAGACACAGGGCCAGAGTGACCTAGAATAACGATCAATCACATATCTCGGAACTAGGATGGTACATCATACTGCGGGGTTGAATAGACCTCCAGTTACTCGATAGAAAGCCCACACATTGACCATCAACGAGAATCCAAAGCAGAGCGACGAATATAGCAGGTTTGGGGTGTTTGGAGGAGACCCGGGCGCTGGTTTCGGGGTATTAGACACCTGCGTCCCGGCGAAGGAGAAGAAGAGGAAGAGAAAGGTTCCCACAAATTCTCCGACGGCGGCGATGAAATTGTTCCGCGTTGTGTCGGCGAGGTGCAGCATGGGAAGCTGGTTATTCGAGGATCTATAGACGGGAGCCGTCTGGCCGTCGGCGTTGCGCTTGCGAAACCATTGTGGCGGCCCCATGATGCTATTCTTTACAATTTGTTCGAAACAAGGCCGATTGTGAGCGGAATTGATTTGCGACCAAAAAAGTGGGCTGCTAGAGCAACAGAGCGGCTTTTATGCATCGGGGTAGGGAGAGCTGTCAGCTCCGCAAATTCAGCTGGAGCAAACGTCATGACGTTCTCTTCCGGCAGGAGGCTTGAAAGAGGTTTATCTCGGTTCGCAGGTGGTGAGCCGTCAATAGCAGAAGATTTGGCTCGGACTCGGGAAGAGCAGCCATAAATAATGAGCTAGACGACTTGGTTGCGACCATGGTTGAGCCGAAAATTGAGGGGCATTGAGTGTTCTGGACCTTGCTTTGTGGCGTTGAGCAACCAGACAATAGCCGCTACATTGAGAGGAGGAGTATAGTCCGACAGGCCTCATTCTGTAGGAAATTCCATCTGACGACGAACTAGTTAGCATGTAGTCTCTCCTTTAGAGTCACAAATTTATGAAGCCGAATTGAGGTTGCATTACTGTTTGTTTTCTCTTTGGGGTCCGACTCGGGAAGAGTCCCACGCAGAATGAATTGACCGCGGAAAGCGGATGGACAATATCGTTGACGTTACATGTTAACAATGAGAATGAGCAGATGCTTTGCATCGAGCTAAATGGTGGGGTGTTCCACCCTGTAGCCCAAGACAAGAGCTTAGCAGGAGACTATTGTGGTAGTCTTAGTCTTACTGTCTTCGAGAGTAGTGAGATCAACCATCCCAGATAGGCCTAGCGGGTGTCTGACCCGGAGATACCTTAATCCGAGGGAAAGAAGAGAGTGTCACTTCCTTCCACTGCATCATCGCATCTTCCTCGCATCTTCCTCGGGGTCTCATCGGTCCCTGCATTGCCGCAGCATCGTACAATAGTACTGTCTCGAAAGGAATCATGTATCATACATGACTAACAGCATCTTTGTGACTGGATGAATTCGAACAACGGCCTCCCCGAGGAGTTCGTGAGCGTTAAATGGATCACCCCACGGCCGAGACTCGGTTGCTCTCGGGCTCCCCCCTAAAACTTACGGTCGGGCGTCGGGATTTGGTGGGCTGATCAAAGGCCTCAAATTAATAATTTGCTGCGAGTCATTTTGACTTTAGCTCGCTCGCTATTCTGTCTCGGCGTGCCATGACAGCAGAGATGCTGCAGAAGGAGACGTCTGCCTTCTTATCAGATGCCTCAATAGTGATGGAGGGATGTGACGGATATGCAGCTCCCACTGGGAGATCTGCTCTATCTGACAGGAGTGACAGCCCCTTGAACCAATTGAGAATGACTCGATTATCTTTTCACACTCAAAATTCTTCCCAGCCCAATTACGGATCGACAGCCTTAGCATCATCTGGAACCTGATTTGACGCGTTAGTCTGGCACCTTCTGTACTTCCCCAGTTTCTCCGCGGAGATGCTCAAAAGGCCGCGCCGTTCAACTAGTATACACAAAAAAAGTGGAAGCAAGAAAAAACTTCTCCCGCCACGGCATGCCGTCCACCCGAACTAACAAAAGCCCTCAAGGACCACCTCCTAATTGCTCACCGGATTATAAATACTAGGATAGACCATCACCATCAGAGTGCTTTTCCCCTTCCATTCTCCAAGATCATTCTTAGACTCGTTCTCTTTTGGTACTCTTTGCATCATTTGTTCTGCACATCTACCCGTTCGCGGCAGATACATCCACACTAAACAATGGGTCTCACCCAGGAACAGACTGACATCATCAAGGCCACCGTGCCTGTGATCAAGGAGCATGGCAATGCTGTTACCAGTGTCTTCTACAAGAACATGCTCGCCGCACACCCTGAGCTGAATGCCATCTTCAACTCCTCCAACCAAGTCAACGGCCACCAACCCCGCGCCCTCGCCGGTGCTGTCTTCGCCTACGCCGCCAACATCGACAACCTTGGTGCTCTCGGCCCCGCAGTCGAGCTCATCTGCAACAAGCATGCCTCCCTCTACATCCAGCCCGAGCACTACAACATCGTCGGCAAGTTCTTGCTCGAGGCCATGGGCGAAGTCCTTGGTGACGCCTTCACCCCCGCCATCAAGGACGCGTGGGCCGCCGCTTACTTCCAACTCGCTGATATCATGATCAACCGCGAAGCTGCCCTCTACAAGGAGGCCGACGGATGGACCGAGTTCCGCGATTTCCGCATCGCCAAGAAGGTTCCTGAATCTTCTGAGATTACCTCCTTCTACCTCGAGCCTGTCGATGGCAAGCCCCTCCCTTCTTTCCGTCCCGGACAATACATCTCTATCCAGCTCTTCGTCCCCCAACTCAACCACCCTCAAGCCAGACAATACTCCCTCAGTGACAAGCCCCGCTCCGACTACTACCGGATCTCCGTGAAAAAGGAGCCTGGTCTCAATGCCACTGAACCGGGTGCTGAAGCCCACCCTGGCCTCGTGTCCAACATTCTGCACGATCTCAAGAAAGAGGGCGACATCATCAAGGTGTCGCACCCCCAGGGTGACTTCTTCCTGTCCGATGCGGAGAAGCAGAGCACCAGCCCCATCGTTCTCTTGGCAGCCGGTGTGGGTCTGACCCCGCTCACCTCGATCCTGAACACCATCCTTGAGACCGAATCCGAGACACAGCGCAAAATCTCCTTCATTCACGGCGCTCGCACCTCCGCCGCCCGTGCCTTCAAGCCCCAGATCCGCGAGCTGGCTACCAAGGTGCCCAACTTGCAGGCGTTCTTCTTCACCAGCCACCCGGCTGCCGAGGACAAGCAGGGTGAAGACTACGACTTTGCCGGTCGCCTGGATCTGAGCAAGCTGGATTCCAAGAAGAACCTGTTCCTGGACGATGCGACAACTCAGTACTACGTGTGCGGTCCCGAGTCGTTCATGCTGGACGTGAAGGGCAAGCTGGCTGCTGAGGGCGTGAGCGCGGACCGCATCAAGATGGAGCTGTTTGGCACTGGTGGTGTACCCGCTTGATTGCGTCATTGACAGATACACACTGCATACACTTTTATCTGCTACCGATACAGATAGAGTAGAGCTTTGCATTATGGGTTACGACTGCATGGGTTAACCTTTGTATATAATTTTAGTTCTTTAATACCCTCCACTCAATTAATAATTCGTTATACACTACAAACAGCTCACATAAACAAATCATGCTCATCAAACACCTCTTCCAGATTATCACAGTTTGAAGAATTATGTATGAAAATTATCCACACAATTGACCTAATATTCACAACGAAAAGAAAATATCTTCCCCAATCTCACCCTTAATTACCATACGCCTTCGCTTCACCCAACGCCACACCCCTCAACTTCGCAAAATCCGGCGTTCCCAGCCCAGAAACTGGATCCCACCCAGTGGTCGCATTCCAACTAGCAAACGGCACAACGGGACTTCCATTGGGCGTGCCTCCAAACCGATTCCTACCATCACAACCCACACTTCCGCCCGTCACAATATCATTCAATGCGCCGCTCTCACTACCCACACCATAAAGGAAAGGGTTCAAGAATCCCATAACAGGCAAACCCACTCTCAATCTCGCATCATTCAACAAGGCAATGACACCACTGAATGTCGGCGCGGAGCAACTGGTTCCATCGTACTGGCCAAGCATGCCCTTGTCGTAGACGGCGTAGTTGACGCCCTGCGCGGCGACGTCGGGGAAGGCGCGGCCGGAGGCGTTGAAGAGGCCTGAGAACTTGTTGCCCAGGTGCTGGGTGAGGTAGGTTTGGACGGCAGCCTGTTGGTAGGAGGGGCGGGGCCAGAGGTCGGAGAAGCCGCCCGAGGAGAAGGAGACGGCTTGTTCAGGGGAGGTTTTGCTGGTGGCACCGACGGAGGTTACCCAGGGGCAGGAGGCGGGGAATTGAGGAGGGAAGTGGGTGCGGTTGGTGCCGTCGTTGGTGAGGCAGGCGGCGCCGACGCCGGAGTCGCCGCTCGAGAAGATCACGGAGACGCCGCGGCTGCCGAGTTGGGCGTAGAGGTTGCAGACCGTGCGGGCGTAGGGGACGGGGATGGTCTGTTATGGTAGGGGTGGTTAGTTGGGGTAGTTTTGGGGGATGAAAGGGGATTTACCTGTTCGTCTTCGCCGTAGGAGGTAGAGATGACCTGGGGGAGGTCGGAATTGTTGAGTTTGAGGATACCCTGGAGGAAGTCAAGGTAGGGCTCGTTGCTGTTGTCGTTGGGGTCCGAGGAGCTCAGGTCGGGGACGAGTTCGCCGCGTCCGCCAGTGCTGTATTCGGTGACCGGGACGGGAGCGCTGACGCCCAGGATGTACTGCAGGTCGAGGTTGGCTTCGCCGCTGTCGCTCAATGAAAGCTGGTCGTTGAGGCCGCCGTTGAATTGAACGACGCTGAAGTTCTGGCCGATGGCGTTGGGAGCCAGGTGCTGCTCGAACCTTTCGAGATCGGCATACCGGGCGTATTCTTCGAGGTAACTGGCGAAGCCGACCTTGCTACCGGACTTGGGATCGGCCTGGTAGTCACCGATGTTGTAGAGCTGCTTCAGACAGTGCGGTGTGATGATGGAGTCGCAGTGGGAGGTGTTCTGGGCCAGGGTGGCTGCGGTCAGGAATGTCTCGTCGGCGTGCTTGGGCTTGCTGCGCATCGTGGCACGGTTCGGCTGGATCTGGCCAAAGCGAGTGGTGGGCTGGATCATGTTGATGTGCGAGACCAGGGCGTCGGGGATGGAGTATTGCAGGGTGCGTAGACGACGAATGTGCTTGGCCTCGCTGACATACCACTTGAAGTCGGCATCCAGCAAGGCATTGGCCTTGTTGACGGTGGTATGAAACTTGACCCAGTCGGCGTCGACCTGAATATTGTGGACCCCGGCGGATTCCAGCCAGTCGCGAACTGAGTCGACGGCAGTGTCGCTGGGGAGCAGCATGCGTTTCATCTCATCATGGGTGCGGAAATGTTTTCCATAGTCGGCGTGACCGGGGGTGGACATGTCCATCACGGCTTGTTCGAAACCGGCAACATCGTGCTGCTGAAGGGCAATTTGAAGACGAATGACCTCGTTGCCGTGAGGATTGTTGGCATATCTCCAGCCTGGTAGGATTCGAAGGAACGCGTTAGTATATGGCCCGGTTTGCGGAATTGATGTTTGTAACTCACCATTGGGGACGCCGGACAGCTTCTCGAAGATCTCTGCGGCTACAGGCGAAGGGAGCAGCGACAATAACGCGAGGGATACGGCTGCTCCCTGGCTAAGGAAGGAGGATAACATGGTGAAAGGGTGTCGGAGAGACGAAGAGGGGGGGATTGAAGACGGCGAAGGGGAAGTGAAGGGGACGGGCAGAGATAATCAGTATTATTTATTTATTTGTTATGGGGGACTATCAGTACTGCCGCTGCAGGCGATTAAGACTGCGATGTGCATACCCTTACTGTATCGGGGGTTGGGAGGGGCGCTGATTGGGTCCGCTGCGAGTGTAGCCGAAGCTGGAGGTGACACTAGCGCCACACTGTCCGGCTGATCGACAGGGATATGCCATCATTCCGCTGTATTTTATCTTGCTGTTGCCTGCTTTGTTTTTGTCCAACAGCCCAAGATTTCAGTGTATTGCAGGGCGTCCAATAAACCGGTTGTTTGGCTGGCTGGTTTGCACCATTCCCCGCCAAGATCTTGCCAGGACCGGGCTTCTTATGATTGGCTGGGCGGGAGGCGGGAGAACAAGTTGGTGCCAATCGAGTGCAACCTCAGGAACCGCCCAGCCTGACCGGCTCCACCCGCCTTCCTGCTTCCCTTTTCCTAGATCTTGGCACGGCTAGCAGAAGTGATAGTTCTGCTCCTATTTCGTCATTTTGGTAGCTTCACCCCCCGCTTTCTTGATAAGCCACTAGCTAATCGGGCCAATCCCTTGGTTTCTGCAGCTTTGGGCTACCCTGAAGAGGCAGGTCACTGCTCGTTCATCAATGTTATCTTCTACAATGTAGTATTGTGCTGTCATGGTCTCAGAGAAGGTTTGACTCCTCCGACACTTTCCCCGGCTCTCCGCCGGGTGTAGCATCTTCTTCTCCTTGGCGTGGGGAAACAAATTAGAATAGGATGGATAGACTGGCAGTGACGCTGTGAAGCAAAGTATCCTATCATCAGAGCAGCATTGGAAAACCAGCATCTATTTGCATATTGGTCACTGACCAGATCTCCTCCCATAAGTTCCATCTGTTATTATTTTCTCCGAAATCCACAAATATGCCCTCTAGTCAACTATAAATAGTCTGATCGGCAGTGAACTTCAGCTCTCGGCAGCCCACTTTCCCCTTATCTCGTTCGCGAATGCGCGCAATCGATGATCATACATTATAGATAAACAAAGATATGGAAAACGTGAGAGCAAGGGCTTGTGCACCCTGTTTACTGTTTAGGACCTGAATCCTCCTCCGACAAGCTCCCCGAGACATCAACAAACCTTGTGTTGACAGGGATAGTATACTCCGCAGCGCTTAGCTCCATCTAGAAACGATCGGCCCTAGCCATTGTCCAATGACTATAGTTTTCGCCCAGGCCTGCTGCAGGGTCACTCGGAATACATTTGCTTCTGATGATGCTAGATTTTGTCGCGATATGACTTACTTCTTGCGTGCATACTATTCACCATTTTCACTTCCATTTCTCCGGAGATATTCCGCTTCTGGAGCTGTCACAAGGCTGACATTATTAAACCGGCCTTGGGATAATACCAGAAGTCGGTACCCAGTAATAACAAGAGTTGCGTCTACTTCGACCAAGAGAATTGCAACGGCGTGAAGGTAGTACTGTGGTTTTTTAGTGAGCAGAGATAGCGAGGAATTGATAATCTAAAGGGGCATTCCATACATATATAATCCTACTCTCGATACATCTCCGGTATGTTTACTTTTTCAGGCAGCCCTTCCATCCCTTCTCCTCTGCGAACTGCCATGCAAGGTCACGTGTCTGTATCACGGTCACGATATCTTCCCGCCAGCCAAATTGGAGGGGATCTCCATCCATTATCCATTCCACTTGATGCTCTCCCAATTGTAACACAAATATATTGGGATTCTTTCATGATGCTACGCAAGCCTGTTCCGCTGTTACGCGGTCAAAGACGAACGTTCCACCATCCAACCTTTTCATCCCGGACAAACCTCAGCCAGTCATGCCCCTTTAGTTGTAATGCGATCCATGAGTCGTATGACTACACGAGAGGTCGCTTCTTGGTAAATGAAAATCACGAGATGGCCATACGCCGGGTTAAGTTCAATATGAGTGAGCTAGCAAAGCGTGCGGCTGAATCAGTCGGCTTTCCACACGATCAATGCGTTAATGTTGAGAGACTCCCGGATGGGATGTTCAATAAAGCTTTCCTCTTTACCATGCAGGACGGTACACAGGTTGTAGGCAAGGTGCCGAATCCGAATGCTGGACGGCCACACTATACCACAGCCAGTGAAGTGGCAACGATGGATTTTGTAAGCAAGCTTCAATACTACCCTCTTCACCGGTGTGTCGAATGCCCACTGGTAGGTAAGGAATAAGCTGAGTACTCCGGTACCGAAGGTTTTGGCTTGGAGCTCAAACGCAAGTGAGAACCCTGTTGGTGCAGAATACATTATTATGGAGAAGGTTGGAGGTATCCAGCTGAATAAAGTCTGGCCACGGATGAATATCAATCACAGATTTGAGCTCGTCAAGACAATAGCCAGGTATCAAAAAGCCTGGATGTCGAAGTCGTTAATCCAATATGGGAGTCTATAATATTCCAAAGACTTGCAAAGTAACAGTGGCTGCATCCTCGTGAATGAAGACGGGTCTCAGTTCAAAGACGACTGATTTGCTATCGGTCCATCGACAGGAAGAGGGTTCCTTGACGACGGTAGGATCGACGTGGACTTCGATCGGGGCCCCAGTAAGATTTCCTTACAAGCCTGTCAATATCTCCTGCTGATACGGCTCCAGGGGATAAGCTGTACGGATACAAATTAGCAATTGGGTTCCGAGAACTCGCCTGCGTACAGGAAATGCCCCAATTACCCCGGTCAATCCTGGGTTTATACGGTCCCGGCACATACCGTCGCTCACGATCGAAGAAGATAGCTGCTATTGAGGACTATCTCCGCATGGTGCACTTCTTCCTCCCAACGGATGACTCAATATCGTCCGCATTCTTATGGCACCCTGATCTCCACGTTGCGAATATCTTTGTTAATCCCAAAAGCCTATCCGAGGTTGTTGGCATCATTGACTGGCAGTCCAGTGAGGTTTTACCTCTTTTCGACCATGCGCGTCAGCCATATTTCCTTGACTATGATGGCCCTCCAGCAAGTGGCCTCGATCCATCGGACTTCCCGCGCGACTTTGATCAACTCAATCCTGACGAAAAGATAAAGGCTGAAGGATTTACTTGAACATGTCTCTCGCGACTCTGTATAGAAAGCTCACTTATGGCAAGAATAAGAGATTGTTCAAAGCTATGGAGTTTCAGCAGACATCGAGCTTTGACATGATGCTATTCGCTCAGAATTTGCTCATTGACGGAGAAGCTTTGTATCAGGCCAGGATACTTGAGCTAGAAGAGGAGTGGTCATGTCTCCCAGGCGTACAGGCTTCCGGAAATCCACCATTTCCTTTGCAATATACTACCGGCGATGTCAGATCTATTCACGAAGATGCAGATAAGGCATCCCGAAGCATGGAGCTGATGCGGGGCGTGAAAGAGTCTCTGGGTGAACTGTGGCCAGAGAAAGGCATCGTGCCGCTTGAGCGGTATGATGAAGTTAGGGAGCTTCTCAAGCATGTTCAAACAGACTTAATTAACCAGCTCGCAAATTCCGAAGAAGAGAAAATTGGCTGGGACAAGGCATGGCCATTCGATGACTGATGTGAGGTTCGCTTCTGAAACACAAGTAATAGGGACATGGCTGAATTTGCAGAGTCCTCCATCTCCTTCACTGAGAGCAGCCCCCAGTCGTTTGGTTTCGTCGTTTTCTACTTCGCGTTATATCCCCTCCTCCATTATCCCACCTCAGTACTAGTGCTTTAAATATTTGACCCTCTCCGGGTTTATACTGACTTTCTTTCCGCTGGGCGATACCGTTGAATTCCAGTGCCTTGGATACGTGCTTGAGCACTAATTTGACCATAGCTATGGAAGCGCCAAGATTTGTCTGCGGCAACTTAGAGTACGACACGTCTGGTTGCAAAAGAGAGGGGAGATTCGCGTGCAAGGGCTGCCGTCTCGTAAATGTGCGTTCAGCCATGAAGTAGGAGTAACCCTCAAACTTTCTCATACTAATTACTATGTCTGTTCAGTGCTGCGGTCCAGAATGCCAAAAGCCTATTGGCCTCAACTTAAGTTAGCCTGCATGTCACCACTGGGGCAGGGAACGTGGCAGCCGGCTTGGGCTCTTGAAAGTCGACTGCCTTCATTTGTTCAAGGGCCCCTTAACCAATTTATTGGACCGAATAAACACCTGTGGGGCAATACTCCTGCGATTGACGTCCTTCAGCTTGACTCAAATGAAGGACGTGACTATGATCATGATCTCCGTCTCTTGTTTGCCGGTATGTGTTTGACCTCTTGTTTAATCTATATCATGGCGATAGCTGAACAGACATAATGTTGCCGTAGCTCGGGAGACCTCCGGAATTTCATTGAAACAATCGCTCAGCTCCCGAAGAGCTATGATCGCTCACTTGATGTTGTAGCCCGCAATGTTATTATGCTCCTTCTTCTTCTCAGTATGGACGAAGACGATGCAACAATCGACTGTATCATTCGCTTCTGGTACTCGGCTTTCCTACGTGACACCGACATTGAGCTGCTTGGGCGCCCGTGTACGTCCTCTAATCCAGGGCTTCTGCGAAACGATCAAGGATGCCACACGGGGAAGCCCCCATACCCAAGACGTGGCATTCGGGAAGCGCTCTTTGAAAGTCACCCTAAGCAAGCAATCCTGGTATCGCCTCTTGACGTATTTCCATGTGCCGACAAAATTGACGGTTGAACACGCACGAAGCATCCGTACGGCCAACACCTTAGCTGAATCGAGGAGAGACGTTCGTGATAATTATATGTCCTGTTTGCCACCCTCCCATCGCATCACTTCTTACAAATTTCGGAAAATTGGTGTCCTGCTCCCATTTGATTTTCCGCGTCATGAATTTCGAGTGCCGAACCCGTAAGTTGACAGAGCTATCTATGTTCGTCACGGTACTGACTGGCAGTAGCACACTCTTTCATAGCCGTACCTGGCCAGCCCTGGACATTGCAGACCTAATAGGGGGTTGAGATACGAATCAGATTTACAATGCGACAAGCGGACCTGCAACGGCTGGAACATATGGAAAGCTCTTCTTCTACATTCGCGGAACACTTCAGACTTTCGTCAGTCGTGTTTCAGACTTGGATTCTCTCGCTCACCTTGCCTCAACTAGATGCCATGAAGCTCCCAAATCACTTTTATGACAAAAGTTTCGATCGCATCGAAGTAAGGCGCGGTTTTCCTTTCTGGTCCAAGTTCCATGTCCGTCGAAATTGGAATACCCAACCTTCACGGTGAAACCATAGAGACAAAGCTCAATAAGGTTGTTAATCATTTAGGTACAGGTTTCCAATATTGCGGACCAAGAGTTTCTGGGAATCCACATGACGCTATATGCGATGGCGCCCTTGCTTCGAAACACCGTGGAAAATCCGCATGCTACCCTTATTACTCTATTTCTCAATGCTATTCAGGAATCCTTGACCCACAAGGAACACTCAAGAGAAATGCTCAAGGCTCATACCAACAAATATCTCTCCCAGTATCTTTTTCGCAAGGAGAAAAGGATTGCGGTGAACGATCCTAGGCTCATCCAATTGGCGATGGCTCTGCCCATGGTCGAGAACCACGAGCACGTTTTTCAACGGTAAGTTGGTTTCTATTGGGAAAATAATGATAATGACTCCTTGATACTAAGTATACCAACAACAGCTTTTTAGCCAATCACAAATTGCATGACGTTCCCAAACTAATAGGGATGGCTATGAAGGAAAGTCATACGATCGTGGAAAAATGGCCTTTCAGATTGAAGCTTCGGCCTGATCAAGCAGGCGCACAAGCAGAATTCGACCGATGCATAACTAGGGGTGTGACGTGGAGGGAGTTCTACCTGGAATGAGAAAAGCTACCCGGCTGGGAGTATAACATTATGAAGACCTTCTAGTCTTGTTCTTACGACTATCCACTAAGTCCTGTCTTTGAGGGCACTAGATTATAAGCCGATAGTACTTAATAGCTAACACCATTGACATTTTTTATCTCTTTTAATCTTTTCTTAGCATGGAATACATGCGGTGAAAAGATCCATTTATCATGCATATATCTTACCTGAAAGCTCAACATTACTTCACGGACGGGGTCCTTATTCACAACTCTACATCTTATATACGGGAAGTGAAGCCACCACCAACCAATGCATATCCCAGCTCTTACTCTATTCCCTGGATAGAGAGTGAAACTGATGTAGGCCATATAAATACCGTGATAGTTTCTCCAATTCCTCCTTCTCACCAACCACCATCTTCTCTACTCCATATAAATTAGCCTACTAATCTTTAACAACTATATATATGCTACTCATTAGTAGTTTAACCCAGATAACTAGTTAATGATCTATATCCCCATCATTAGTACCGCATCTTAGATCTCTAAGAACTCCTAGACAGAGGGATATGAAAACCCATCGAACAATCATCGCGAACCTGAGTCATTGAAGCGGGTCGATGACACCCAGTATAGCGACCTATACCAGCATAAACAAGCTGCACTTCAGGAGAACATATGCAGCTACAGAAGTTGCAGTCTATTCCGACCAGCTGAGAGCGTCCGGTATATTTTGAAGCAAGTGCCTGCTCCGCCCTAAGTACCTCCTAAAACTCATAGTATTCGGTCATATGAATACTCCACCATATGGATTCTAATAGCGAAACGTGTATCTCAACATGATGTTACACAAAGCTATCCATAATTTCATCCACTTAACAAAGTCTACATTGAGAGAACCTACAGAAGGCGCAGCTATCTCCTATAGGAGCTATCGGACAGCACCAGAATATTTCCTGGTGGCCCTCACGCATACATTTCTCGTGACACCACCATCAAGGCACGGTGCGCTGCAAGAATCTTCGCCGCGGATCAATCTCGGCAGCTTGGTCTATACCTGAGAATCCATGACATATTCCCGACAAACACTTCATACCAGGTAAAAGCATACTGGGCATTCAATTCCGGGTGTGTCATAATTACGTGAATGTGTTGGTCGGCCTTATTAAACGTCATCAAATTCAAGCACGGAAGAGATATGGGATCCAACATTATCGCCCGAACCCGGCCAAACAGGAACAGATTGGGGAATCTGAGGTCGTTCCAGACAGTCCAGCTTCACTGGAGAGGATCCTTTTTATTGAAAACTTACTGGATTTTGATTAGAGACTACTTCTTCTTCTCTCTGCAGAAGACTGTTGATGCCTGAGCTCTACTTACAGAGAGATAAGCTTATAGATTATATATATTGCACCTGTCTGAGCATGACAACATTTAGCAACTGATGCATCTTGGACATTTGAAGATAGATCTGGTCACACGTACTCCATATCTGCTCCAGCTCTTATCCCTCCAATGCGGTTCCGTCCACTTATTGGTATGGGAAAATACATATTCTATCCACGCAACCCAATCTATGCGTGGGTGTCCATTGGTGTCACTCTTGCGAATCGGTGTGTTTTCATGGTCTATTCTTCGATTACCTATCGCATAAATGCTGATCTTGTAGCAGGTACCCGGCGAGCACTTTCCTATAGATCAGTCTCTTCTCGGCGCAGAGGTTTGCTGGCTGTGAACAATATGCTGACATTCCAGTAGCAGGCACTAGCTTCCGTGAAGTGGTGTGCCAGACCCAGGGTATCAGCTAAGAAGAAAAGTGAGATAGGTCCAGAGTGTCCTTTGGGCGCCTGGAACTTTCAAAGAGAGAGAGACATAAATCACTCTTCGTGGAACGACCGACCACAAGTACCAAAGTTCAATGAGATCAACCAGAAACTAACATCTCTACCTGGACAGAAGATTTTAACGATCTAGCGGCGACAAAATAAGACAGATACTACAAGAGGCCTTTCAGACAGTCCTACTTAAGCCCGATCTTGGTAAAGCAATTCTCCAAATATGCCACCATTGATGGGCAGATGATCATTGAGATAGGGCACTTTGATTACTCCCACTATATTCAGTGATACTCTAGTACAGTGATGTCTTAGATTGCGAGATATCAACCTATGATAGAAACACGAACACGTTCCTCAGCGGACTAGGATCCAGAAACTCGTAAGAGACACTGAATGGTGTCCTTCGATGCTGCGAAAACCGTGTGGCGTCAGCATTGAAGTCACTCTTTGCAAGACATTATCGGAGCTATTACTGCGAAGAAACATTATATTTTGCATATTCTTGATATCAAAGTCATCATACAGGCATGATTTCTGCATAGCGAATGGTAGATTCGTCTTCCTGGCTATGTCTTTTTCCATCTCAGAGACACTGACATATGGACTATACATACACAAGCCGTCCAAAAGATATCGAAAGTAACGAGCGATATCGGGTCCAAAGAGCAAAAGAAATACCTTGTCATTCTCAGACCACAAGAGTGTCTGAGTAACAACACAAATTGACAGAAATGACAGACTTAACCCAATCCACTGCATCATTCTTGTTGTGCCCAATAATGACTCTATACCAGGCTGCCGCGACGCCTGATGCCGTACGTTTCTGGGTCAAGGACCGGTCTATGCTATCTTACACGACAATCTGGTTCTTCTGTGGCTCCCAGGATCATTTCTGCCAGCCTCTGTTCCCCACCAAGGGTGCGTCGTTCCTGAAAAGGTTCGACGAAAAGCACCCATCTTCCAGTATAGATCTGCAGTACTAATCTCGCTTATACATGTTGCCCGAGTGAGGTCTCTCACCATAAGGTATTTTCTCCTTCTCGTATTATGTTTACATTTCTCCCTTTCTCTTTTCTTCTTATTCATATAATTCTTTTCAACTTTGTTGACCCCCTATTAGATACACGACCAGAACGGGATAGCTTCAGCTGTCCAGATGAAGTTATATATAAGATATCTTCATCTTCTCCGATGGAAATTTACAGCAAACCAACGGATTTCAAGAGACTCGGTGAACACAACACCATTTTCTCCGCCTTAGAGTTTTGCTGAGGCTAAAATATCATCCGTATCCTAGACCCATGCTTTTCACCCAGAGGTTCTTAACAAGGGACAGGAAAATCTACCCATTCCTGTGATTTACTTGCAAATTGAGACTAGTTTCCAGGTTCATCCAAAATAGCGGCTGGCTGCTGGGATGGGTGTAGGTTTCTTGGAATGGTAGAAGTCGACTCCGTGACTGAGGGAGATCCTCCTGGAAGAGTCTGTGTATATATATCACCATTGAGTATGGAGGAGTCTGGGAAATTAGCCAAATAGCATGTTCCAGAATCTTATAAAAGAATATCCTTAATCTACTACTGTTTGTTCATGTAAATATCCAATCAATTAATTTAATATTCCTCATACATGTCCGGGTATATTCTATCAACATCGAAAATAGTATTCTATCTAATCATCAACTCCAAACCCAAGCACCTCCTCCACCTTTCGAATCTCCTTTTCCATCCGAGCAACCCTCCCCTGCTCTTTCCCCTCTATCCCCACAAGACAATATGGATCTTCCCATTCCGGCCCGTCCCGATACCGAAGAATATTCTCCATGTTTCTGTGCTTCCTTTTCTGCGTAGGTTTCTGGTTTGTGTCCGATGACGTCGATCCACTTTGTGTTCCCGTCTCTATGCTTGTATTGGTATGTGTGGACTGAGATGTGATAGATCGCGTGGTACTTTTACCTCTCGAGGATATGTTGAATTCAAGGGTTAGCTTTCATCCCATACCGAAAAAAATCATGGTTCGATGCAGTGGTGGTAAAGTACCTTGTACTCGAGGTGGTGTTGGGCATTCTGATTGGGTGTGTTTTGGATTTGTGGTCGACGGATGTAAGGAGTTGTTGTACACAGCAGTATGGAAAGACCAGAGTAGATGAGAGTACTAATAGAGGGGGATTGTGTGTGTCGTAGTAGTCCTTTCTTCTTTGGAATACAACACGTCTGAGTAGTAGTAGCATAGTATACACCAATTTATACCCACACAAACACAGACCGACAATAGTGTAAAGAGAGATATCTACAGCCTCATCGACTTCCTCTTTCTCAGCTACTAATCACTACACTCTTCACAGCCCATCGCCCATCTAGAAGGTGGTCTAGAATGAAAAATCAGCAAAAAAGAATGAAATGAAGCGAGTAGGCAACGACCGAGCACTCCCTCCATCACAATGCATAAATCTCATCTCATTTCCGCTCGGTGCAGTGCAGACACTCCAGTCCAGACCATTCATAAATCCCCCCTACTGGTCTACTGGCATAGAATTGTATCCGATCTGCCCGTAAGCGACAATAGCTATCTTCTGTAGGTGTGTGTGTGTGTGTGTGTGTGTATCAATGCACACCTGGTCCAGACTCTCATCAGGTACATCCTTAATGTATCTTCAGATAAAACCAACAGATATGAGTAGAAAATGATTCGATGACGACATTCCCTCCAACTGTAGCCAGAAGCTATCTACATTACATGGAGAAAAGCAAATAATGGTGGATTGTCGGCTGGGCGGGAATTATCGGCCGGTCTGGATCGGTCGGGCCAGCCAGGACGTTCTAGAATCGAAACATTTCTTTTTTGTTTTGTTTTGTTTTGTTTTGTTTTGGGAGGGTGTGTGTGTCGAGCTCGGGGAGAAGAGGGCGGGGCTGGTTTGAATTTTAATACTACATTTAATGAATTGATTAATTAGGAAATTAGTGCGGAGTTGTCACTATTTCAAAAATGAATGATTTTGTGTTCATTGGGTATCTATGATGATTTTGGTTGTTAGGAGAAATCTCGCAAGGCTGGATCAATTGGGTTGATGGGGAGGAGGGGACGGGCGGGGTTCAGGCCTTGTCGGTGTAACGGATGGAGTTGATGGGTTAACTTTTAGTTGGGATGGGATGGGATGGGTCCAGGGACGGGTAACTCGGTCTAGGTCTTTCTGTTGTTTTTATTACTGTTTTGTGCATCTACTTTGGAGTATTACATATTACTTTGAAGGATAGCAAATAATGTAAAGTAGTGAGTGGATTAGGTCGAACTTTTATCTCCGGGTATATATCAACACAACACCAATTCATCCCATAATTCGCCGCCCACGACAGGAGAGAGCCATGAAACAAACTCCCAGATCTTGTTGTAAGATGTAAGGAACAAAAGAAAAAAGAAAATCATAATTATTATACAATATACGTGACGGTCATTACAAGGGGATATCTGGGCAGAGACAACACAACGCATCGCCGCTGGGCTTATGCGTGAAACGCCTCACTCCCCTTGCTATGTCGCCACATCCCGTTCGGGACCATGCTTTGTTTGAGCATGGCAAGCTCCTTCTGGAGCGCCTTGTTCTCCTCCTGCAATTCTTGCATAAAGGTGATGGCATTGGTCAGGATCTCCGACTTCTTCAGCGACGCTGAGCCCCCCTTGGTGGGCTTCTGGACTCCGCCGCACATCGCCTTCTCCAGGGCGACGAACTTGGCGTTCATGTTCGTGCGGTACCGCTTCTCGATGATGTTGTGCGCCGCCCGCTTCGCCGCATTGCGGCCGGTGGTGGTCTGGGCCTGACCCGTGCTGGCGTTGGAGTCGCTGGACAGACTGCGGGTGGTCTTGCGGGCGGTGTTGTTGGCGGCAGGGGAGGAGGGGGCGGGCGGGGGTGAGACACTGGTGGCGGGGTAGTCCTGCGGTGTAATTTCCGGACTGGACGACCACCTTGTCGCGGTAACCTCGCGAGCCTTCGGTTGAGACGTCGTCTTGCGACGAGTAGATGTTTTGGAAGTACGAGCAGCAGGCTTAGGCAGCTCCATGTGGATAGGCTCAATGGGAGAGACACGGCAGGTAGGAGACCATGATTGGTCATCACTGTCAAGGTCCTATTGAGTATATGTTAGTTATGGTTCATCATTCAATACCGATAGAGATAGACATACCGATGAGAGAGACCCGCAGGAGGCAGCATCTTCACCCGAGTGGTTGGAGATGGTGAAAGCACTGATATCTGGGGGTGGGGCGAAGAAGTCGGCGGGAAAATCCTTGGGGTCCAAGTTCATCATCTCGTTGGACATCTCCAAGGGGAAAGTCTCCGGCATCATGGTGTTGAGGGAGAACAGATCGATGGCATTGTCATAGCTCCAATTAGCCGACAGAGGATCGGGTCCCTTGGCGAAGGTATCGTTGGGACGAGTGAGTGGGCTCGGATGGCTCATGCTGTACATCCGCTCGTCGTCTAACGAGAAGGAATCGGGCCTAGGGTATGCCATACTTGTGGACTTGGATGGGGTTGAATTGGATGGATGACGATGTGGATTGTCTGATAGTACTTGGTGTGGGAGGCAAACTTGATAGTCGAGTTGACAGTCAAGGTCGAGTGGCAAGTAGAAGAGTGTTGAGGAGGCAAGAGAAGGGTAAATATAAAGAAGCTGTTTGATATTGAACCGTGGATCGGAAGGATGCTAGGTAGTAGAAGACATCGGGGGATGGACTATATAAAGGTGGAAGGTTGCAGGAGAAGCCGGTGTCAGAAACCGATCGCCAGGCCAGCCGAGACGCAATGATGTAATGGCTTGCAACGGTCGAAAAATCCACGGCCAGCGAGAATAATGAGGGCCAGCATAATTGGACTGGAGACGCGCAAGAAAAGCCATGACCATTGTCGAAACGATAATTGCACAGGGCCGGTGAAGGGGCACCGAGAGATCACCCCAGCCGGATGCATGGCATCCAGCCTCGGTCGGCTCCGATGTCTGCCGTCGGAAGGCCCATTTGGGGGGAGTGAATGGGAAGCAGGGGAAAGCTCAGCAGGAGAGAGCTGAGGCAAACTACAGCTCAGTAGAGTACGTACTAGACTCTCGCCAGAAAATAGAAAAATCTAAAATAAAATAAAAAAGGAAAAAATCAAGAGAAAAGGACGGATTGGAGAGCCGTGGAGGGCGGGATCGGTGGATCGATCGATGCACAACCGTTGGACTGGCTTCCCTTTCGTTTGCTGGCTATACCTTTTCTGGTTTAGTTCCCCGCCAAGTACCGCCGCGGCCGAGTCTCGGCTCCGACATCTTCGGCCGGACGAGGAGGAAACTCGACAGAAGTAAGAACAGCTGGACAAATTTTCCTACTTACTTACTCCCCTTTGTCCAACATGACTTCTCCATCTCCTACTCCATACACTCAACTCACTGACCAGAATGGCAACAGTCAAATGCGGAATTAATCTTATCCCTGCCTGCCTTGATTTTCTTCACGAGGCGACCATAATGTCGCTCGCTTGCCTGTTGCAGTTATTTCATCCGTTCGGCACATGTTGATTACTTCGTTTCATAGACATGACCGATGCATGTGGTAAACCTCAAAATGGAGGCCACCTACGTAGACTGAAACTAGACGAGGGGCAATACTAGTATCTTCGTAGTGTCTGGATACTGTCTACGTAGTGTTTGCCAATCCCAGCTGCCTTAGGCCGCCATAGTTCAGGTACCCTCAATTGCGGCCGCAAGTGGGTCTGTTCTGGCCTTCATGGCTGCTCCTGTATGTCCCTTGTGTTCCCTGGCAAATTCTTATGCTCACAGTTGATTAGCTTCCGGTAGGCATACACAAGTACTAAGTGGTAGTAATCTGTCGGAGGCGATAATGGGGTTACAGATGACAAGCCAGACCACCTGCACAGCTCCCTTTCCGTCCCGAGTCCCTCCTGAATATACCGAACTGTACGACACTGGGTGTAACAAACAAAATTATCTTCGAATGTCAAAGTACTATACTACTTGCCACATACGATGATGTATGTGTACAGAGTATATTTTCATTCTCCCAGGATGGTCGCATCCACCAATCACGAAACGGTCATTGGCAATGAAATGCCCCTTACTGTCCATCTCGACCAGTCAGGTGGCCAACAATCGGCATTTCACATCCTCAATTTTTCGACCGTCTCGCTTACTACTCAGCTAACTCCTGCTCTGACCACGGCGCCGTACATGATTAGCCATACTATGGATGTACTATCCCGGTCTATTCCAATCCACTACAGTATCTACTTTACTCTCTTCAGCTCTCCCTCCGTCCCTTTTATTTTTTTTTTTTTTTTCATCTCCCGCGGGTACTCCGAAGGAACACAGACCAGGTTAGTGGGCCACAGCAACCCCATTCAGGTGGAGAGACAGAGTGCATCGCCTCCCATTTTATTCTCTCACACACACAATCTCGCAGCCGACCGAGGGGTCTAGCCTATCTCCTGGAATATTGGGAGTGCTCGCAACCTCCTTTTCCTCCAATTCTCTTGACCTAATGATAATCGCAACGATGATGAATCCGCCCAAGGTTCCTAGCTGTGGTTACCCGCCATGACGTTTCGGGAGGTCCCCATCGCCCCTCTTCCCGCTACCACAAAAGCTGGCAAAAATAAGGGCTGGCTGGCGCGCTATCGACGGAATCTATCCACGGTAAATCGCCTTCGGAACCACCAACCCGGTTGGCGCTATAGTCAGCGTCCTAAGAATAAAAATTCTCCTACGAAAAGTGACATACATAAAATCTCCGACCACACTACCCACTGATCCAGCGCGGACGCTAGTAAATTTCTCGGCTTCAGACGTGGAGAAAATAACCTCATTGAGTAAGGTTCTTTGCTCTCTCCCCCTCAAAAGTATTTCCTCCCCCAAATAGTCTTACCAGGCGGACCGGATACCGGGTGCCCAGGGTCTGCTGCAATGCCACCAGTGGTGTGATCCGGCATCTTCAGAACCCCTTCCTTAGTGCGACGATGCTCTGCGATACACTCGCTGTGGCTTGAGATCGCCAAGGATTGCAGAAGAATTCTCGTCGTCGGTCGTATGCCTGCTACCCCCCTCGGGTGATTTTGATGACCAGCTCTGCCCGATCATCTCGCCCGAGACACTGGGATTGCTCTTGTTCTCATGACTCAATTCTGGTTTATCTGGCAGCTGACCTTGTAGCATGTCTCCGGTTAGGTCTTTCCCGACGCACGAGACGCCTGGTGTGCCTTGGGCCACCAGACTCTGTATACGTCAAACTCGGCGAGGGTGGACGGCATCTGACTGATGGTTTCGGATAAGGCACCGGCCAGTGCTGGTCAGCCCTACCGATTTGGGTGATGACTGATCAGAATTGATCCAGGATTATGCTCGACATTATTAATGTTCGCTTTAAGGTGCCCCCCTGGCTGTGAGAACAAGGTTAGGCTTTAGCTTCATCGCACCAGCCCAGAATAGTAACCCCGCAACACGATGACTCTCAATCGACTTACAGCTGATTATGTTGTTAGCTGAACTAAGACCGATAAGATGTGAACAGACGAATGGGTGTGCCAGAACGTCAAAGGTGGCCTGGGATTCGCGTGATGATGATGTTGAGCAGCTGCAGAGGTTCCGACGTGGTGCTGAACAATTGCGTCAGACGTGTCTACATGGAATGTGGATAGAGCACCACCAGAGTGCTGAACTGATTAGATCTAGTCGAGCCTCATCTTGTTCTGCAACGGCGTCACCGAGATCCACAAGCTCTGACCACCACAAGTTTGGGTTGCCGCGGGGCCCGGGCTTGCCAATTTCCCAGAAACCAGCTCGAGGTCAGCACACCCCGGCTGCTATCCGCCCGGCGGGTGCACTACTGTACGATGCCGTGGGGGAACCGGTCCAAGACCTCACTCTGAGGGCGGATGAGAATTATCCCGGATGACGGCAGGGTGTGTCGGTTGTTCCTCCTGCGTCTTATGTCACAGCGGCAGGAAGCCTACTCCCGGTCATCAACGTGCTGCTAAAGAGTGTATCGGACTTTATCCTGTCGTCGGGGGTGCAAAGCCGACCTCATCGACTTCGGCAGATAGGATGCCGGTAAAGAGGGGCATCCCCCGGCACGAGACTTCAGATCTACGACACAGGCGGCAGTTACCTCACAGGCTTCCCGGTGGCCATGCAAAGACAGGATGGGATCGAAGGAATTGTGGTAAGCTATCTACTTGCTCCTAGCCAACGCTTGTACTGTCGTCTCAAAACTCTCAGGTTCTCGTCCCAAGAGCTCCCTCAGGAGCGGCGACACCACGGCCGTCTCCCCACGACGGATCGCATCCCACGCGGTTGCCCATTCCCTTGTCAAATCGATACCGTGATAGGTGTGTTTTGATCCGTGCTGCGGCAAAGCCACATACTCGTCAACAGAGATCTCCCGCAAGCGGAGGGGCTTGCCAACGGCCTGGCCGAGAATTTCAACAGTCTCCTTCAGCGAGATCTCCCTGGGGCCGGAGAGCAAGAGCACGCGGTTCAGGTAGGGGAACCCCGCCGGATTCTTGGCATAGTCTGCAATCAGCTTCGCCGTGGCCTCGCCCAGCTCGTCACGTTCCACCCACGCAACGCCCGGTCCGTCGCCGGAGTGAGGGATCGCGATCTCGTCTGCGGGGTGGTGGATATCGAACCAGCTGGTGTAGATCGGATAGGACTCCGAGTACAGACCCTCCCGGATAGCGGTGTAGGTGATGTGCCCGGAAAGTTCGGCCAAATACTTTTCGGTCCGCAGATGGGCGCCCATCACGTGCGCAACGCTAGTCTCCTCTAGATCGCCTGCAAAGGCGAGAGACGAATAGAAGATGTGCTTGACGCCGCTGCGGCGGGCAGCATCAATGGCGTTCTTATGCGCCTGTCTCGGAATCAGCATCATGTCGGCGCGAGATCATCACGGCAACCTACCTCGAAGCGGAACTGGATCTCGAACGAGGCATACGAGATCAACATCAGGGCGTCGATGCCATCGAAGGCGCGCTCTAGCGTGGCGGGGTCTTCATAGTCGGCCCGTCGGACGGTAGCTCCGGCCCGCGTGAGTTCTGCGAGATTATCTGGCTTGCGGGCGATCAGGATCAGTTCCGATGCAGGCACCAGCTGGACGAGGTGATTGATGATGCTGGTCCCCAGTCCTCCTGCTGCAGGAAAGACCCCGATTTTGGTCATTGTGTGCGCGTGGTGTATGACGTAAGGATGGTTACACTGGTGCTCCTCCTTCAAGGCCTCGTAATATGTAGTAATGTAGTGATGGGCTGTGTGTAGAAATATCCGATGCAATGCTGTGTAAAGGGAAAATGTGCCAGTCAGGGGTTGTTGACTTGGTGGTGTGAAGCTCAAAGTGTGTGTCTTGGAGCCCCGCTGTTGGTGGCTTACAAATCGGTCTGACGTTGAGGGCAGTCATCGTGGTGCCGATCGACCTTCAGGGGTTCAACCAACCTTCCTTGGGGGTTCAACTTGATCCTGAAGAGTATTTACCATTTATTGGCACTTTAATAGAGTAACTATTTTGCTCTGGTCAGGTTACAGGATGCTACATAGCTCTATCGCATCATTGTTGGGGTTTCTTGGTCCGGATACAAGGCGTTTGCCGGTACATCCGTGAGTAGACACTGATGCCGCTGTGCTGAACATCTCTAAAAAGAGAATATCGTAGACTCATGATTCAATGGTAATAAATAATTATTTCTCCAATTAGCTGCCGCTGTCTAGAAGCAATAGACTGTGTCCAACAATCCCCATCCTATTATACTCAGTAGCCACGTGACCGCGTCGTATCTGTCCTGTTTTTTCCTTTCAGAGTAGCTTCAGCGTTTATTTAAATATGAAAATGACTGACTATGTGATAACAGATCAAGTAGTATAATAATTCTGAACACAAACATGTGAACTATCAGTAATAGTAGTGAAGAACAGTAGCTACTACAATATATATTTCTCCCGAGAACAATTCAACGCACCCCATCAATCGCTCATGACTCAATCCATGACCAACCGACCCAACCGAATTCAATAACATAATAATGAACCATGAGACTTTATCAATGTCACATTTACCCATAAAATATTACTAGTCATGCTCTGCTACAAAAATATCTATAACGAAGCACCTCCGAGAGGGGAAAGGAGGGAGGGAGATAATTGTGGCCATGTATAGCACTAAACCGAACACGGCTAGTACGAAGTGCGAGTAGTTGAACCCATTGCATCTTACCTATGAGGGATGCAACAATCTTCTATATAATATTCATAACTGCGATTGCCAGAAAGATTTTTGTAAAGTAGATATTTTGAGAGAAAAAAAAAAGAGTGGATGAAAGCTTTCTGTTATAGAAGGGGAAATTGGTGATTCTTGATCATCTTGTGAAGTAGTATATTTGACATGTGAGCTTTATTTGCAACGACTTTGTAGCTGAAGTAGAGAATAGGAGCCTGGGTTTGTGATAAGGTTAGATCCAAGATGGGGAAGGGCTGGGTTTTAGTCATGGGTCTTTATTCATTAGGAGGTTGGGTTGTATTTTGTGCCTTATTGCATTGTTCCCTATTCTTTTTTTTGTTCTATTGTTTTTGGTCGAGAGGGATCACAACCACTATGATGCTGACTGGGCATTCTTGAATGATAATGAGCCTTCCTATTGAGACTAAGATGGAATTGATGTTCGAGGATATGCTTATTAGATTTGTGTCCTGAAATCAATGAATTAAGACGGATATATTGGTTTGTGTATTGTAAACTATGCTATCTCTCGGAGAAGTAGAAGTGAAATCTAGCATTTCTCTGAACAAGTCACTCGTAGTGAAAAGACTACCCCAAAGGAATTTGACGCAGATGCGTATATCAAATTGAGGTTTGGCTCGAGAAGATCGGAGCTTGAGACGACATTCTTGAGGTTTCTCCAGAGTAAGAAAAGGCCCCCGGTTCGTACAACAATTTGTAAACCGAGCGAAGGCATACCCTGAATACCCCAATACAGATGAAAACAAGCACTATCCGCGCAGAGCAAGGTCCCTAAGAAATTCTTTTCTTGACATTGGCATCGGCATCAAGCATCTCTTCCCAGTCCTCCATGAACCGCAGAATCCACTTCCACAAATTAGGAGAAGCAATGAACATATCTTGCCGAATCCTCCGCGGACTGTCAGGCGTATACTTTGCTTTCCACTCCGACATGAGTGTCAACTTCTTGGCTATGGTGTGCTTGAACACCTTGTTTCTGAAATAGTCCTTCTCATCCCTTTCGACTTTCCAAAGTGGGCGATCCTCCTCACGAACCTCGTCATACAGCCGGAGGTAGTGAGGTGAGCGACGTTGTTGCGAGAAGTACTCTCCTGTATCCTTTTCGGGACCATAGGTAGACCGCCAAACTGCAGCAAAGAGATTGTAATCACCGATAGAGTCCAGACCGAGGAGTCGACTTAAGTTCTAGTGGGATTTGCCTTGTTCGAGGGATTCATGGTACCTGCGCACCGTACTCTCTTCAGTCGATTCGGGCATAGCTGCCTGGAAGCCATCGATGAAGGCTGTGTGTAACTCTGGGCTTATCTTGTCGCCGTATTGTGGCAGGCCGGGAGGGGATAACAGCATAGAATCAGGAACACATGATGTGAACGCCCAGTCGATGATACAAGTAATATTGTAGTCGTCGTCGACATAGATATTATTGACACTAAGATCAGCGTGACATAGCGGGAATGTCCCCGGGTTTGAACTTGGGAGTTCAAATTTGCGTACAATGTCGCGGAGAGCATCACCTGCAACGATGTAATCCAGCCTGTTATCTGCAGAATCGATTTTGTTGCCGACAGTGACGAAGTCATTCCACAAATCCACAGCCTGCCTATACTGCTTGTCGGATTGATAGTCTTCCCTCGAGGGAACCGGCGCCACGAAACAATGATGTGATAGCCGCAGGCACTCTGCTTGATCTGAAAATAGAGAAACGAGGCTGTCGTAGAACTCTGCGTTGGTAGCAAAAGGGCCACGCCGACCCTCTAACAGAAACCGTTCATGTAACATATAACAGCGCCAGAGGCATTCCTCGATCTTGAAAGCTCCATCGTCTTCATAGAGTGAGTCAATTCTATCAAGTCGTAGCTGCGAGAGTTTCCAGGTGACACCGTCTAGCTGGGTTATGACCTTGCCCTTTTTTGGAAGGATCTAGGTCAGGTAGGGTAGAGCCGGCTGACACCCAGACTTTTGATAATGGCCAGCCAGGAGCTTGGCTCATAAGAATGAATGGAACTTTGATGTCATTGTCGGACGATGCGCTGCGGCAGGTTAAGATCGAGACATATGGATTGAAGGAGCGCCTTACCAGTAGTCATATACTTCTGGGACGGGTATATCGCTGTGGGTTTTGAGGTATCGAAGTGTAGCAGCTTTGCTTGCTAGTAACTTCATCCCGATATCAAGAGGCATGAATGTCCTCGGGTGTGGCGATCTGAAAACCCATTGTACGCCATCTCGGAAAAGGATGAAAATTGCCCAGTTGAAACTTCCTGAGGCAGGATGTTGACTGGGATCACAAGTACATGAGATACCCTGCCGTAGCGTGCTCGCCCGACGACACACTGCTTCAAGGTCGAAGTCAGCGTAGATGGAGATTTTCGACTTCGAACTCGGAGACATTCAGACCGTAAGATGTCCGAGAATGGAATGAAAATAAACGAGGGGCCTGGAGAGTCAGCCCCATCAGGGATGGCCAGGGATGTGTCTCGATTTGTCTTGGCTCATGCATAAAAGCGGTGACGGTCATCTTCTTACAGACCAACCACTGCGTGTACTGAAACCGTAACGTTGAAATCCGCTGCGAGTTGCATATGATGACAATAAATTAGACGTCAAGAAGTCACAGCATCTGTACATGTGTGGCTTTTTGTTTCGCTTTCGCTCATGGATTTAAACGATAGGTAGGATAATAAACTGGGCACCTATCAAGTTTCAAGACGAAACAGATGGTGTGTTCAAGTAATGTTATCAGCTAAGCTGACTAGCGCAGCCATAGGTAGACCTAAAGACAGGGGTTACCGCAGGGACAATCTATCAGGATGCGAAGGTAAGCCTGCAACTGGTCCCTAGCACTCGCTTCCCCATTTACGCAGAGAGATTTTCATCATATATCATGATATCATTGGTCAGGGCATCATTTCGGAGCTATTATGCGATGCTGAAAATATCGCAGCCTATATATCGTATCGCCAGTGCTGTGCCTCGTATGTCGTGTATATGCACCCATTGGGGTAAACTACGTGCCGCCATAACACATTCCGTCGCTGATAGGCTGTCAAAGCCGACCCCGCGAATGGTGTTGCATATCCTTCGCTGATGAGGGATTAATTTCGTCCAGACTCTTTTGGGCTTGCAAAACAGCTATGCATGATAGACTTATGCTGATGAATTCAGTCACTCTGTGGACTGGCAGCTGCCTTGTCCATGCCTGGTCCGACCTGCATTTGTTAGCTATCTGAGAGCATGAATAACAGTAGATCCAGTGACCAGATCCTATTCTGTCTGGAGGATATCGCAATGTGCCTAGAAGTTAATGAAAGCATCGTAGCCCCTGTGAAATTAGTCGGACACCTAGAAAGCTTCGAATGTTCGAATCGAACTCTCAGACACTAGACTTAAGAACCCTGCAGCAGGTAGGAATTGGCTTGTAGCCGTAAGCTTCCGCTATTGCATACGAGGAGGCAGACTTCGTATATCTAGCACGAGGTAAAGTCGATGGGCGAATCGCGATCAACAATCTTGGCCGCATGGGGCATTTAGATTATTAAAAGCCACACACAACGGCCTTATCAGCAGCTATCGTGCATGTCCTCGGTGTTCTTAGCCTATCAGACAGAACACCCAGCGAGTGTACTCGGCGGATGCCACCATCGAAAACCGATTTCCGTTGTCGGACAGGTTGCCACAGTTAGCGGGTTCTCTTCCAATGTATGACACCTCGATCGACAGCCCAGGCCGCCAACAGGCAGCCGCAGCCATAGCACCCCGCATTATCCCCCCTTCTCTTGGATCGGAAGTCGGCTGTAACAAAGTTCGGGCTAGTGGTACCACAACGCCAGCTGGGGTGAACACTGTACACACCTCTGTAACAACTGCGTCTCTGAATGTGGGTTGTTGAGTCTCAAAGGAGCGACTGATATGAGGACAACTCATCAATGAATTCTGATACTGGCCTTAATATCAAGGATTCGCCACATATCGCATCTTAATTAACCAGGGGGGAGATAATGGTTCGGATGGATCGACAATCAGTGCCCCGGACGCGGTTATCGCCTCCGCATAGACCTGCCCGATTGGGACAGGTGACGGAGAGACTGACGATGATGATCTGGGATCGAATTCCAGGAATGCAGGGACGACCTGAAACTTCGATGCGACCTGCGAGTTGATAGACGTAGCTGCCTTTTCAAGAGAGCGACTATAGCAGACTGGGAAGATGGTAATTCCCTAAATTCGAGAATGCTTTGAGCACAGCGACCGAAAGGCGGATAGGACCGATGGCCGTAAGAAGGCGGTGGTCGCCTGAGAGTAAACCGCTGCTATACAATGAATATACGAGGCAAATATCACGATCGTAGCCTGTCTAAGCGCTGCTCAGAGTCAAGCTCCTCGGTCACTGCAACAGGCCTTTGGATGCCCGAAGCTGCCATCCCCACTTGGGAAGTCCTGCCGAGCCTAAAAAAACCAGCCCCCGCAAAAGTCAAAAGTCAAAGACGGAAAAAAATTTCACTTATCGACAACTTATCTATCTTGTCCACTCACGAGGATCTCTTCCATGACCAATTGATCATTAACTTGGTCATTATCATCCTGATAACCATCTTACCTTTCCGAAATAAGCATGCTGGCCTTGTGAGGGGAAGCCCGAGAATCCTCATGCCCTTGCATCCTTAGACTTGTTCATATATGAACCGTCCCCTCAGCACCTCAAACCAGTTATATGAATTTGCAGAAAATGGACAATTGGGTGCACAACTTGTCCATCGATCTCGTTGCTCTCCCGCTTGGCTGAATTAATTATTTGTGGTTGTGCATTTTCATCCATTTTCTTTCCGGATGCCGATGGACTTGGAAAACAACGGGCCGATCAAACCGATCCAATCGGTCGACCAGAGCGTTCAAGATGCTCACGATCTTGCGGCCATGGGCCATGACCAGGCCATGACTCGAAAATTTGACATTTGGAGCATGTTGTCTCTCGCGTTCTGTGTCTTAGGTTAGTCCTGCCCGATCGTCGGAATTTTTCGTGTGCTCTGTGCGCGCTGCATCCACCGGGGCGCCAAGAAACGGCAGCTAACCGTTGTTCCCAGGCACCTACTCTACTTTCGCGCAGGATTTGGATAGCGGACTCACCAATGGCGGCTCCATAACCATTCTCTGGGGTCTCGTGCTGGTCACGGCCTGCAACCTGTGTGTCGCAGTTTCGCTTGGAGAGCTCACCAGCAGTATGCCGACCGCTCTGGGCCAGGCGTATTGGGTATTTCGACTTTGGGACACCCCGCTGGGCCGATTCACCTCGTACATGTGCGCATGGATCAACATGTTCGGCTGGTGGACCTTGACAGCGTCCCAGGTTGCTTTCATGGCCGAATTCCTTTTGGGCATGAAAGTCATGTTCGATAACTCTTGGGGCGGGGCCAGCACTGGATGGCTAAATTTCGTCGTCTACATTTGCACAGTTCTGGTGTTAACTGTCATCAACCTAGTCGGTTGTAGGAAGGAAAAGGTCCTCCCATGGCTTAACAACTTTGTCGGTATATGGTTTACCGGCTTATTCGTCGTCTTGTCACTTGCGCTGCTCATCTCCGTCGGCGTGAAGAAAGATCTCTCCTTCCAACCAGCGTCTTTCGTCTTTGGGGCTTGGATGAACGAAACCGGTTGGGGAAACGGGGTCGTTTGGTTCACGGGCCTAGTCCAGGCCGCTTATGGTCTCACGGCTTTTGATGCCGTTATTCATATGGTCGAGGAGATCCCTGCCCCGCGTCGCAATGCCCCGAAAGTCATGTGGCTTTCCGTACTCATGGGGGCCATCACTGGTTTTATCTTCATGATGGTCTGCCTGTTTTGCATCCAGGACATCAACGAGGTCATCAACTCTCCAACCGGCCTGCCGTTCATGGAGTTGATGGTGGAGACAGTAGGCCTGGAAGGTGGGGCCACACTCATTGCTTTATTCATCTTTAATGGCCTGGGCCAGGGAATTAGTATCCTAACGACCGCTTCCCGACTAACTTGGGGCTTTGCACGAGATGGTGGCTTACCTTGGAGCGGATACTTCATGCTGGTCGACCCGGTATGGAAGGTTCCGGCACGAGCACTCTGGTTTCAGGGCTTTTGGATTGCATTGGTCGGAATTCTTTATCTCTTCGCTAACACGGTGCTCGATGCGATTCTGAGTGTTAGTACGATCGCTTTGACCATCTCATATGGTCTTCCCATTGCTGCTCTTCTGGTAGTTGGGCGCGATAAGCTTCCACCAGGCCAGTTCCATCTGGGACGGTGGGGGACGCTGATCAACTGGGTCAGCATTATCTACTGCATTATCACGACAGTATTCTTCCTATTCCCCGGGTCCCCGAACCCGTCCCCCAGCGATATGAATTATGCGATCGCCGTGTTTGGAGTGATGCTGGTGGTCGCCGTTGGATTCTGGTTCGTTCAAGGAAACCGCACGTATTTGAAGACGGAGGATGCCATCGACCAGATGATTCAGGCACAGAGGCTTGAAGTCAACACGGCGACACAGGTGCAAGATAAGAAGAAATAGTTCTTTGTTTATAGTTTTTTTTTGAGAGTTTAATGACTACAATGACCTTCACTATTCTGTTAGCCAAGATTGCATGCACAGGAAGCAAATAAGCCAACTGAAACCCACCAGTGAATTGAAAAGCTCCAAAGATCGCCTACCGGTAGTTTCTAAGGTCGAGACAAAACACTGCCACTCGAGGATCACTAGTAATTGATATGGTAAGATGGTCACTTGCACGTCCTGCGGAGAGAGGAAAGAGTGTAGGTTGATGAGAAAGGCCCGTGACCCAAGTGGACGCGCCCCCCACGTGTTTTGTGCCATCACCCCATGTATGGCACCACTCCTCTCTTGCCTATCTTCCTGAACTTAAAGAATACTTTAATTCCAAGTGACTCCTCAACAACACTAACTCCTCTACCTGACTATAGTATGATAACGTTTTACTTGCTATCCCATTAGGTGATCCAGGCCATTTAAGTGGAGCAACTACCTGGTCGCTAATACTTAACGATGCTTTCACCTGTCACAATCTATTCTTCCGAGGAGAAGTTTACGATGTCTTCAGTATCCGAGATCAAGATCAACCCAATCGGCAAGGGAAATGATCGCTCGACAACTATGACGTGGCTGATGTCTCTGCGGACCTAAAATGAGAAATCTCTCCCTACTGCCGTCGGATTTATCACATGCTGCCGGCTGTCTGAGCGTGGGAAACGGTGGGACATACTGGTCACCCATCTATTGGTAACAGGTGGAAAGATTCGGATCAAATACCCAGATGTTATAGGTCGAATGATGGTTCAGTTGATGATGTTGGGATGCCAACCTCACATAGTTGTCATGGTACCATTGAGAACAAACAAGCAACTTGTTGCACCCTGATTACTGATTCAGCTCTGAAACAGGAACAGGAACCGGATGGCTTAAGGGGCCCAGACCAGGTTTGCTCAATAGGAACGGGGTTCGATGAGTTCCACAGCCTAAACAGTTCCGAAAGTACCCACCTGCTAGCTGGCTATATCCGAGCCTTACTAGGGTGTTCCTGGCCCTGAGGGTCTGTCCAGATAGCTTATCTGCCAAAAGACAATGACGCAACACCTCTATGCATTGCTGCAGCTGGTCTTCGGACACTTTTGCGAGAAATCGTCTAGAGGTCCAGCGAGGCAGAAGTGTAGTTGTTGTGCAACCTGGGAGGTGGAATAGACCTAACCATACTAAACTGGCTCGTAGGGTTGCTCCACCAAAAGCCCAGAAAGAGCACTGTAGGGCCATTTTCAGCTGGTTCTTGATTGTCGTAGGTATTCACGGACAATATTTCCAGACACGACGAATTTTGCAGCCCCCTATTGACGTGATGCTGCACCTCTTGCTGCACCTCTATATCCGGGCCCGTCGAGGCCATACCGAAAATATTCTGCTGTGGATCTTATCTTACTTCCCAGCGAATGGGATCTGCGGAAAGAGCTCATGGTGGGGATATCGGTTTTACGGGCTCAAGATGATTCGGGTATACGGATTTACGGAGGGCGCTTTTTCAACAAACTGTTTCCATATTTGTTTCCTGAGGGTGAAAATATTGGAATATAACAGATTCAACGCCCATGGCTCTGATCACTCGTAAATAAGTACCTGAGCCAAAGTTTATCGCAGTGCCCTGGTTTGTGGACTGTGGTTCATAGGTATGTTTATCAACGGCCTGCTACGATCTATAACGGATATACTGACTGACCGGCCCCGTCTAGTTGTGACAAGTGGACTCATTGCTCAGGATGGACACTTCATCATCCTCAGGGACCGTGGACATTGAGCCCGGTGACTCTAACATTTCCAAACAGCTGACGCTAACGTGGCGCAATGTTAGCGTGAACGTCACAGCCCCCGATGCCGCCCTGGGCGATACTCTATTGTCAGTGGCCGATCCGCGACAGATTTCGGGGTGGTTTAGCAGGAGCCAAAGGCCAAAGAGGGTAGGGTTGGAAAAAAATAGCGAGTCCGGACCAATGCTAACTAATTTGGCAAGACCATCCTGAAGGACATCTCTGGCCAACTCCGGCCAGGAGAGATGGTAGGAGAAACTAAGTGAGCAGAGAAATTGACGGCTTACTGACTGTACCTAGTTGCTCGTTCTGGGACGTCCAGGATCAGGGTGTACATCATTCCTTCGTGTAATCTCCAACGATCGCGAAGCTTTCGACGAAGTTGTCGGCGAGACTCGATATGGAAGCATGGATCACAAACAGGCGAAGAAGTACCGGCAGCAGATCATGTTCAACAATGAAGATGATGTGCATTTCCCCACATTGACCGTTAATCGGACGATGAAGTTCGCTCTTCGAAACAAGGTTCCCAGGGAACGACCCGAGCATCTGCATAACCGGAAGGACTACGTTCAAGAGAAAAGAGACGGCATTCTTGAATCTCTCGGCATTCCGCACACAAAGAAGACATTGGTTGGAAATGAGTTCATCCGTGGTGTATCTGGTGGTGAGCGGAAGCGTGTTTCCTTGGCGGAAGTGATGGCTGGCCAGGTATAAATCCTTTCTCCCCATAACATGTACAGCATACTTACGACCGATATTAGAGCCCTGTTCAATTCTGGGATAATCCAACTCGCGGTCTGGATTCCAAAACAGCGGTTGAGTTCGCTCGCATGTTGCGACGCGAGGCCAACGAGAATCAAAAGACGATCATGGCTACCATGTACCAAGCTGGAAATGGTATTTACGACGAATTCGACAAAATCCTTGTTTTGGCGGAAGGTCTTGTCACTTATTACGGTCCGCGCGCATTGGCACGGGGTTACTTTGAGGATATGGGATTCGTTTGTCCCAAGGGAGCCAACATTGCCGACTTTTTGACATCGGTTACCGTGGTCACTGAACGGACTGTCGCCCCCGGCATGGAAGAGAAGGTTCCCAACTCACCCGCTGAGTTCGAGGCTCATTACCGCCAGAGTGCAATCTACTCCCAGATGATGAATGATATCCAGCCGCCAGAGAAGTTGGTAAACGAGGATGAGAATTTGGCTCTTGCAGTGGCAATGGAAAAGAGGAAGCAGCATGTTCCTCGACCCCAAAGTGTTTATACGGCTGGTCTGTGGGATCAGATCCTCAGCTGCACCCTTCGGTAAGATTATTGGCACTGGAAGTATGGCGGCGAAACTGACATTATTTAAGTCAATTCCAGATCCTGGCCGGTGACAAGCTCTCCATCGCCATCAAGGTGA